CAGAAAAAGGGTGAATGTTTGGTACCATTAAAACGTCTAAACCCGCTGCAATTGTTTGCACCTGTCCTAAGTCAGGAATCTGATGTTCAGTAGTTGTCGTTTGTTGATGTGGTTCATAAGTGTTTCTATTTTCTCGTTTTTTATATAGATTAGACCGTTGGTTTTCCCGTTTGAATGGTTTTACACTAGTAATTTTTGGGGCCCTTTATAGCTTGCTGTTCGGTGTGAGCCAATGCTCCGTGTTGAAGACCGTACTTTGACCTATGATGGTTTACTTTTATAAATTTTGACTTGGATGGAGAGTTGTCTCATTGGCACTCATACCATATCTTCTTATATCTATTGTTATAAATCATGTCCAGTCCCCTCGATCGTAATCCTTGGCTAGCGAAGATGACCGGTAGAGGTATCGACCAAGTGCTGTAAAAATTGATAACAACACGTTATAAATTTCATGCGTCCGAAGAGCTTTTCTGTATTTACCTTCATCAGGAACGCTCAAAGTCGAATATTTGAAAGCCAAGGAGGTATAAGGACCTAAACAGTCGAAGAGCTATATTACCAAAAAGGACTGAAAAAAAAAGCCAAATCCATCTATGGTCAACTTTGCCAGAGGGAGTTGAAACCTTAATTAGTTTCTAATAATTTCAAAATTTATTAACGGACAATTTCAGAAAGGTTTGTTATAAATCATGTCAGTACCAAAGTACTGACTACTGAGTTGACGACAACTCCCTGCTAAGACACTGGTGACGTTTTATAAAGTCTTGAGCTCTTGAATACCGAATGAGTTGGAAAATATATATCCCAAATGCAGGTGAATTTGGTATATTGCTGCTAAGTTGGGGGAAATTTATAGATTCTGGTACTGAGATGACTGTGTATTTTACATTCGAGCTATAAGCTAAAAATGAGACAGAGGAAGCCGTGTCTGTTGTTTCTTTAATTTCTATTTCTGGAGGATATATTAATGGAACCAAATCAGAAAAGTTTGGATTGTTGATGGAAAGAATATCATCAATATATCTTAATGTGAAATTATGTGTCTGAAGGAACCTCCAAATTCAACAAATATGTTGTCAATAAGAAACTCCAGTATACTGATCACTTATTCCTCTGTGAGCATGTTTTACCTTTTTGTTCACTATTAACAAAATATGCTGTATGGTATCCCAAAGCAATAAATTTATAGCGTATGTTACCATTTTTATATTGAAAAGCATTGTGAATTATTTCTTTTAGACGATTTTTCAATTTCACATGGGAAATGGTGGTATACAGAGTTGAAAAATCAAAAGTTTTGATAGAATTAATTTCAGAGAAAACTCAAGATTTAAAATTATCAAGAAGTTCTTTAGAGCTTTTTAGAATCCACATATGGTTAATACCACTACGCGAGTAAACATTTTTGCGGTATTTCTGAAGACCCTCTTTCACTGGGGACATATTTTTTGTCAATCTACAATTCCTTTGTAGAACATGCAGATGAGCCGGCAATGTAAAGTTGTTTGTACGAAATTTTGTGAAGCTTAGGTATCCAATACAATCAAGGTTAGTCATCAGATTTGCTGTTCAATGTAATGTTCATAGAAGCCATGAAGGACTTGATTCGCCAAAATCTCATCCTTGTCAAATGATATGTTTTTGTATGTGGGATTACCTGAATGCTCATTTATTCCTAATTCTTTACAAAACACTTGTAGTAGTACGATTTACACACAACGACAATATTATTTGAAGCTTTGTCCGCAGGAACAACAGCATATTTATCGTGAAGAGATGACAGACATTTCACAGCTTCTTTGATCGATCATTCACACGGTTTTTCAACTTATGAATTCGACGTTTTATGAGAAACCTGATTGTTTTAACCCATTCTGACAAAGTGTCAACTCCAGCTTCTTCTCATTTAGCTCATGCTCTGGCGTAGTCTTCAATGGAATCAATAATTATTATGGAGTTATGGTTCCAAGTTATGTATTGGGGTTCTCTGAACTTAGGACCATGAGATATCAACTTTCGGAGATAGTCATGTTGAATTATGTTTAGATCCCCAAACATGGCCAGAGGGGCTGTAAATATATAGCGAGTGGGAACCTTCACGTCATAGGGCTTTTTAGGCATTCTTCTAAATCAAGGTCCTGTAATGATTGCTTATAGTTAAATACTTTAGGTGCAGTAGTTTTGGTGTAACTGTAGGTTACAATAGGAACAGACTGATTTTGAAAATAAAGTGGAATTTTAGATGTTACCTCTTTGTGATGAAGAACGTTGCTGATGTTGATAGCATCAATTCCTTTATTAGTAAACTGAACTGGAAGGAATTTCCTCTTTTCGTTACTGGTTTAAAAGGACGGAAAAGAGCTACATCACAAATTATACTGATCAATCTGTATAGTGGAGAAAATGTATGTTTACAGTTTTGACTGCTGGATCCCAATCATTGTCACATTAACCTATTGTCGTTTTGGGTTGCTCACGCAATTTTGTTTATATAACGGAACTATAAACAACTGTCATACAAGTGCCTGTACCAAGTGAGGAATATGAGTTGTTTTAACTTGTTCCTGTTGATTGACAGGGTTTGATTTTGTCAGTTTTGTTTTAACTTCACCTTTCTTAAATTAACCTTGAGGTTCGGTATCTATGTTATACTTTTCACTAGCTGCATTCAATTTCTAATAGAATTTTAAGTTAGAAGTTTAAACTATTGGTGGAAAAAAAACTGAACATTTACATCAACATGAAAATAAGATGTTATGATTTTTAATGAGACAACTTTCCACCAGAGTTAAAGTGACGTGGATGTAACCAATTAAAGGTCACCGTATGGCCTTCAACAAGTTGGGAACAAACCCTCTATATGGTGTTTATACCTGTATAGAGGAATAAAATTATTCCTCTGTAGAGGGATGTATTTGTGTAGACTGGATTTAAAGCAGAACATGGCAAATGCGCATTTTTCACTGATTATGGCAGTAACCTGCAACATTTGGTGCACCAATTGATGTACTTAATTTAATATGCACATGTCTAGTTTACTGCTAAACTGACTGAATATAAAATCTATTGTTCATCATAATTGAAAGCTGTGATGATCAGGTAAATTCCACTCAGTTATGCCTCAATGAACATATTTCTATTGTTAGATTTAACATAAAATTCAAAGGTCAACTGTCCCTACTGTTGTTGATCAGGTGTTCAGATAGGTACACAATAGATTGCAAGTTCTGTCACTTTTGCAGAAAACTGGGCATTCTAATTTTTAGTAAATTGCAATAATTGATACATGCTGTTCGGTGTGAGCCAAGGCTCCGTGTTGAAGACCGTACTTTGACCTATAATGGTTTACTTTTATAAATTTTGACTTGGATGGAGAGTTGTCTCATTGGCACTCATACCACATCTTCTTATATCTATATAATGCAATAGACTATAGCCAATATAACTTGAAAATGCCATTTTGCCATCTTCCTGCTTTAAATCCAGTCTAAATAAATATATCCCTCTATAGAGGGATACTTTTATCCCTCTATACAGGTATAAACACCATATAGAGGGTTTGTTCCCAGCCTGTTCAAAATGAGAAAACCTCATACGACCTAAACTCTTTTGGCACCTATCGTGATTTCGATAATAACAGCAGATATGATTTCAAATAAACTTATACGTAGACGTCATAATGAAGTACAATGATTTTCAAAAGTATTGTACATATAGATCTGATATTGCAAGAAAGGAATTTCCATTATAGCCATTAAGGTTCATCAAAAGGAATTGAAAAATATGGCAGTGTTTACAGCACAAAATCTACTCCGAGTAGACAAACCGATGCATCTAGGAAATTTTTAAGGCATCACTGGACCTAGATATATAAAATTCATATGTAGTTTAATTTCCAGAAAATTAAAAACTTACTTGGATTTTGATGTGCATTTTTTTTCCAGTCTGCAGAAGATAGCAAAATAAACAAACACTTGAGTTTCATTTGATACGATCCACTCAGTTACACATTTTAAATCACCTAATGTTTGCAGATGTCTATTGTCCATAATGTCCATTTAAATCGATACAACTCACAAGATTTATTGTATGAAGGGAGCTTCTCAAATCTCTTTGCCAACTTAGTTTATTTTGGCACCTTCTGAAGGAATGAAAATAAAAAATGAATAGCAAATTCCAGTTAAGTTTTTAATATTCTGAAACTTAAAATGTATTTGAATTTTATAAATCTAGTTACAGTCATGCTCTAAAACTTTGCAAGATGCACAGGTTTGTCTGTGCCAAGAGTGAAATTTGTGGTGTAAATACGGTCATATTTGTTAAAAGGTTATGATGAACCTTAACCTGATAACCTTCCATGGATGTGCTATAAGATCAATTGTTTCTTCGATATTGTTTCATTACTTTTTTCGGTGAGGGATTTTGTTCTTGCTGAAAAACTATTTTACAATATTTACTGACAGGTTAAGTACAAGAAAGATTTCAATAATATTAAATCCAAGCAGATAGTATATTGATTCTCTTATACAATTATTCAAATGAAATAAATAGTAAATGAACAAGAGCAATTGATGATATCGCAAACTGAGAAATGGTTGATTGGTGTATAGGAACCAATAAAACGATTGGTTTGATTTCTTGTTTTGATCTTGGTGAACCATATATTGGTAGATCTGTGCTCCCTTTTATTGGTTCGCATGTACCAATCAACCAAATCTCGTTTCGCATTTTCTGTACATTGATTATCGTTTTGGTCATATCTGAAACATTTATCAGTCTTTTGATTCTATATGCACCACGGTGTAGCTTTTGTGTAAGCGTCTGCAACAAACAACTCTGAAATTAGTCATATTAATCGATTCGTATCTAGTTTTATTGTTTTGGTGCTTGTCTTTGATCTTTTACTTTTATTTACATGTATTTATTAATTTAGGACCGTTTTGGTTGTTTTTTCGTCTCCCTGTAAATATGTGAAACGGGCCAATGAAAGACTATAATTACAAACAAAATATTTTATTTCTATAGGAAATGTATAAAAACCTGGCAGTTAATCGTCGTTGTGCCTTATCATCGAGCAAAAATTGTTGTTAACACAAATAATTTGCTCAAACACAATAACAGTTAATGTTGTGCCTAATCATCGAGCAGAAAACTTTGCTACCTAACAAATCGCTTTTTCACAACACCTATCTGATAAAATCATTGACACAACTATACAGCTTGCTGACTAAACAATACTAAAAATTCATCAACAACATATTATAATTGACTTTGGTCTTTATCTCCTTTGCAACAAAGGCTGTTATGAATCTCTGTTAAGCAGCTTGCATAATCTACCATATGATATGGAAATTTTAAATAATCTTGTGTTTAGACCGACAATTATCAAATGCTGTTTGATATCATATGAACTGCCAAGTTTGTCATAGAAACAATTGTATAAATAGATATTTTGGAAAAATAAATATTTCTCAATACACCAACAATATTTCACATTAAAACAGTTTAATCTGCCCGATGAAATGGCAAAAATTGAGGTACAATAGGGTGGGTTCTTCAAATCGTAAAACAAAAAGGTTCAATAACAAACTTTTATGAATGTAATGTCATGAATGCCGAATTTGATATGTTTATTTTGGACACTAGGAACTTTAATTTTGGCAAAGTCAACTGACCATAATGAAATGGCTTAAAATACTGTGGCATGCTAGTGAAATGCTTTTTGAAGTAACTTTCAGTGCAGATATTTTTTTTTAAACTAGAATTTTAATGTTAAACGTTTTGTCTTTAAAACTTATTTTTTAATTGAATTAAAGTATCGGAAGATTCACCAATGATTTCTTTGTTTACCAATATTTATAAATATACTAAATAAACTCTTAAATAGTAATAATGAATGCTAACACCTCAATAAATATCTACAATTCCTACGTAATTGACGATTTATATACAAAATAACTCCCCTAGGGGTCAATGGAGCAATGTCTCAATGCCACAGTATAATGGATGAAACGGTCAAATGACCTGGGCCTCATTAGATCAAATGACCGTTTCAAAAGGTAGGACTCACAAAAAACATACAATCATTTCATCTATATACATCTCACACTCGAATGAATGAACAAAGTACAAAATGACCTGACATTAATTTCTCGTGATGCATGTAATTTGCATAATCGACATCCGAAGACTATTCTAAAAATTCACACATAAAATAGATAGCACATAGCGCGTAACAAACAGGATTTCTTGAAGATTGACACACAATTTCTATCGGACAACTACACAGTGATTCAACTCGACAACAGGAACAGATAGTCCGCACTTTTTTCGAAAACAATTGGATAATGCGAAATATTCTGCCGGAACGGTAATGGGTAGTTGCACACTTCCGGTAGTCCTTGTATTATACAACAGTCAATTATATAGCTACTAAAATGGCGATGGAACTGTTTACCTATATTCCTTATCTATATGGGTCGTATCCTGAGTTTGGCGGAACTGTAAATAATATGACGAGTTATTTAACAGTAGATCAGCTAGACGTTGAAGGAAGCGATCAACGTTCTGCATGTTTTGTACATCACATGCAAATAAGTCAACTCCGCATGAAAAGAAGCATTCATCAACTTTTTAGCAGCTAATCATCAACGTATAATATATAATTTATGCAATATTCTATGTTCTACAATAACCACAATCTGAACTATAGCAAGCACACACAAATACATATATATTATACGAAAATAAATTAAACAAAAAAAATGTTAAAAAAAACATGAGCTCTTCCAAGTAGATACAGCAACATGAGCTTTGCATAAATAAAGAGCATTTAAATTCCAAATTCCAAGAAATATAGGTAATCGCCATTTTAATCCATTCCAAAGGACTCATATTTAGGGATGACAAAATTGGACGGAGCTTTTATACATGTCCTTCGCAGGTAACATCTTGGATTCATCTTTTTCGTCCAATCTTTTCAGAAGAAGTTTGGGTAGTCTGAAAATATCACGAACACATTAAGCATTCGTTGAGTAATTTGTTAGTACTCTTAAGTTAGCTAGGTGTGTTGACAGTACATGCTTCCTAAACATGACACTATCTCTGCACCTGCACATAAAATAAGCATTTATCGAAAGTAACAGAAACCAAAACAATTATTGTGTTGTTTAAGATAATACATTTATGAAAGCTCATTTTCCTTCCAATAGCAATCTATCAAGCTGCTATTTTGACATTAATCATGCCATGTTTGTTCTATTTTGTGCACTAACTTGGCCAAAAGCGATTTTTTCGGCAAGCAAATCTTAAGCGCAAAAGACGAGTTGTATTGAAACTATATGAGTTGTGGAGCAATTCATTTAAATTTCGATGCTATCCTTACTTAAATTGGGGAAAACAAATGAAACATGACTGTATTTCGAACACAACTATGGAAAAAGCTTCTGTAGAGCCCTTTATCATAAGACCTACCTAAAATCAAGTGGAATGTTGGGAAGTGTTGTTGCAAATGGATTTTCTAAATAAGAAATTCAATCAAAGTTATATACATAATTCATCATTCTACACTGTGTGCAGCATATTCTTCATTGTCCTTTTTGACAAGTTATGGATTTTTTTTCTAAAGATGTATTTAAAGGATAATCAAATACAATCAAATAGAAATAACTCATAATGTTATGCATTTAAAGTGTCCCCTGATTTAACAGAGAAATGCCATTAAAAACCCACTAGAATTGGATATTTTGCAATTCATTAAAAATAAGTGGGATTTGTTTTTTATCAACAGGTAACTCTTATAACACATTTCAACGATTAAAATCTGACTAGAAAATCAAGTCATACATTATGATAAAGATAAAAAAAATTGCTGAAAAATATAAATGTTTTTTCAAAGACTTTATTATATGTTAAGCTTAAATTGTTGAAATACTGAAGACAGTTAAACAAGGAATTCAATGTATAGTATAAGGCTATTTCTAGGCCGTGTGCACATGAAAGTATTTGAGTGTAAATCATTTTTTCTTTCTTTTTTACTTGTACTTTTTTGTTAATATTGCACTTAATACATGAACAAATTCAGTTCTCAATTCATGTTCTACATTCTTATCAGGAATGTTTTTCCCTTAATTTTTTACAATTTGAACAAGAGCTGTTTCAGATAGTTGAACTTAACAATTGCAAGTTGAAATATTTTATCAAATAGAGCACAACCCTAGCTTAATAGTAACTCTTGATGTGAAAGGAAAGTTTGGGTCATATTCTTCAGATATTTTTTTATAGCATCTAAATTTCTCTTAGTATGCCTGATATCTATGATGATTTATTTGCTACTTACAAGTTTATTTTTTATCTACCATATATGTAAATCACCAAACCTTGGTCTACTTTTTGTTATTAAAACACTATGCATTAAATAACAAAAACTTCCTGTGCTCCTTAGTTATTTTCATCTTAAAAAAAGAGTCCCACTCCCAAAACTCTCCCCTTTATATGTTCTCATAAACAAATGATACCAATTTTAAAGCCAAAGAAACATGTTTCTGGATTAACAATTATAATGAAAGCTCGACACCAAAAGTTTAGAAAATCAATACATGAAAAGTTTGCGAGCATCAAAACTTTCAAACTCCAAATAGCTTCAACACAAATACAAATGCTGTTTGCATTTCACAATATGTTCAAGTTACAGGTCTTGTGACAACTTTTGTTACTGCATCATAACTGAACTATAATTTTTGTCAATTAGACAAATAGAAGAACACTTACAAGAATGGAATCAACTTTTCTACACGTGAAAAACAGGTGAGGCTAATAAATCAGAGACTAGGTAGGAATAGCAGACATGAACAGATAATTATTTTCAAATTGCAAAATACTGGGAAGGAATGATAGACAAAAAAGGCTAGCTCTTCCAAAGTGCAAGGTAATAGGGAAAAGATGACAGGTAAAAAGGCCAGCATTTCATAAAAGAGAAGTTACTGGTAAGGGATGAAAGGACAGTCTTTCCAAACTCGTAGATAGTTAGATAGGGGAAAAGCTTGACAAACTGGATGATAAATTATGGTTTTGCTCATGAGAATATATTAGTAAAGCACCAAGGCTAAAAGAAAATTACTGTATTTAAAATACATGTATACAGGTGCAAAAATTAAATTTTAAGCTCATTCTTCAACATTCCATGCAAAATCAAATGCAACAAAGAGATATTATCTTCATGGTGTAACATGCAAATACAATAAGAATACAAAAGTTAACCCCATCCTGTAAGTGATAAAAGCAGACTGGTGTTTTCTTTTTTGTATATATATTTTAAACGACATATCTAATAACTGTAATTTTTATGTAAAAGTCATACTTCAATCTGAAACGTATGCTTGTATCTCACTTGTAACATGTATTTGAATAATTTTTCAAGTCTTCTGTACATATAATATAAAACGGCTTCTTGTTTGTTTTTTTTTTTGTATTTCGGAATAAGCGTGTGAATATTTTATATTTAATCAAATACACCAATTCTCATTTCTCAACTGTGACAACCGTTTGTTTTGCTTCTATCATAAAGCTTAAGAGTATTTCATAGAGTTTATGTTTAATAAATAAATATTTATGTTTATTTAATTAAATTTGTAAGTTGCATACAAACATTCTTTCCCCCATATTAAAATTCTTCCATTTGCGTAAACCTAATTAACCACATATTCTTTTTTATAGCATTGACTTCAATCTCATGCATGATTCAAAATCAAAATATGTAACATAATATATAAAATCTTTACTTGACAAAAGTATGTATTAAACTATAGTGATTAAAATAATTTATTTTAGAATAAAAAGAAAAGAATAGTAATACTTATTGTGTTTATCATTCCTATGCATTTTTATTGAAGACCTGTCATGACAGTACATTTGGTTTAAAGAATTAAAAACAAATCTACTTTTTAAATAAAAGGTTTTTCTGGAACAAATTTCAAAATCTTATAACAATTTTGTCACAATGTCCTTAGAATCAAAGTTCAAATCATGGACATTAGGTGCCAAATGAAAACATTTCACCAAAACATTAAAATTATGGTGATTTAATAATAATATAATCTTCCTTACTTCTGTATATATAAAATTCTGTAAAAGGGACAGTTTAAATTGACAATACTTATCTTTTTTTTTTATCTGTCTATCATGTTATATAATTCAGTTTCAAATATGAAATATAGAAGACACTTTGTAAAATAGGAAAGCATATATATATATTCCTTTATACATATATTAATGTTCAACATATATAGAACAATTTAAAAACAAACACATAAGCATGCACAATAAAATTAAATCCATGCAATACACGAATAACGTGAGTTCAGGTCCCAAGTAATTAGATACACATTTTTTGTGAACTGTTATGGAAGATGTGTATTTGTAACTGCTACTTTCGAGTTAATTTGGGGTTTTGGAATACATATTAGTAATGACTATATACAGTGGCAAGCCACACATCAACAAGATATGTTTATATTACTGCTAACATGTAGTCTACCTGGCAGAAAAGGAGAAGGCAAAACACACCATGCAATTTTTGTATACTTTAATTTATAAAAGATTTTTCACAATAATATATTCTATCATTTAATTATTGCAAAAAGTACCCTCAATACAATTTCATCATGTAGACAATATGGAATGTAACTTGGACAGCACACACTTTGTGAATGGTTTGGACACCTACCACAACCTTTCATTTTCATACTGCCAATATTTAAATGAATTGTGTTCATGTCCTTCATTGGTGACATAATCCATGGACAAAAAAAATAATTAATGAAAAAATAAATGAGAATAATTCAATCCAAGAAAATATCAAATGAAATATTGTGGGAGTTGTCCAGCAACAGTAACATATAATAATGGTAAATTCAAACAAAAAATGAAATTATGAGCAATTTATTGTAATAAGTTTTCTAATTAAAACAATTAAATACTCAAATTATACACATGACATATAATGCCAGGGTTTCAAAAGTGGTTTGCAGCTTTTATAATGAATTCCTATGCAACAAATTTTGGTGGTAAATTTTCTCACTTAGCTTCATTTCTAAAGAAAATTCTGCATTACTGAAATTTGTTTGAAAAGAAAAAGGAAGATTGAATACTAACTTTTACATCTTTTGAAAATAGACCCATAAACATCTTCATGTAGAATGCAACAATGCATTTTAATTTTGGATCGAAGAATTTGGTGTGAAAAGAATCTGCTACAATTTTACAATATTTTTATTAGAAAAAAGCCAAATGGTTATGACTTAAATTTATATTAATGTTGATGTGTTCAAGATAATATTTCTTGAAAGATTTAATATTGTCGATCATATATTAGAAGGTACGCTAAAGATTTGCAGATATGTTTTATACAGCTGCACACAGATTAACTACATAAGAAAGTTGAATATAGCAAGAGAAGCTTATTACTTTTATCATGCAAGATAACTTGTGATCACTACAGTTAAATTTCAAATTGACAAACTATTTCGAAAAACCTGTCACACTTCAGGTAAAAATTTGTTTTGACTGGATTTCTTAAAGCAGAAAAATGTAGAGATCACTAGAAAGGCATATATACAATTATTATTGTTACCATTTTGTTGTCAATTTGCTGTGTAAACCAGTTAAGTTTTAGTCCACTGAAAAATTTGTCTTAAACTATATAAACAATCTGGATATTATAAAATGACATTATGAACTTGACTCAGCAATGCATTAAGCACTTATCATAGAGGTATCATAAAAATAATGTTAACTTTATTCAAGTTACATGTACAAGTTGTAAGCATGTGGCTACAATCACCTTTACCTTGTCTTTGATAAGCATTACTGCTGCACAAGATTGAATGTGAAATAAGCAACCTTAAATGTTTACACAAAATCACATGAATGGTTCATGACTTATTTTCACTGTCCATCTAAAAACGTTCATTACTCATGTTTGTAGATTTAAATATTGTATTGCACATTAACACGTCCTTGATTTTGTGTTATTTATTTAAATGGTCTTGGAACAATAATGTATTCCAAATAAAGCCCTTTTTACATCTATTAATATTATGCTTGAGGAATTTGTGTGAATTTGATGTCTAAGTTTTGGTTTTCTGTTAGTATTTGGTGACGAAATAAGGTGTCATGTTACAAGACACATGTGTAGTGTAGTTAGAATGGACAGTGAAAAGATTCAGTATTCAATGTTAATGTAGTCACAAGTTAAAATCTGCAATAGACAATCTATGTTTAAATAAATAAAAACACTAATAAAAACTTCTGTCTTAACTGTTGATAGAAATAACTGTTGTCACTACTAATACCAAGCAGGATTCTAAGGTATAGTTTCAGGAGTTTGCTTATGAACATATACTATAATTTCTTCAATTTTAACCCCCTCCCCAATTTTTTTCTTTCCAAATATTGAATTAAAATTTTGCATGTAATCTTATATGCATTGCAAATGCTATATGTCCAAAAGGTATTATTTCTCTAACACCATTTTGCTATCTAATTATGTAAGTTTTCAATGTAATTTGACCTGCATCAAAGTGCAAACGACGAGTGATTACAGCATATGCTCATATGAACTAGTTTAAAAGCAAAACCTCACCATACAATCACACATCACCAAGAAAAAAAAAGATGACAAAGACATGCATGAAAACAAAAACAAAAACAAAGATGGCATTCAAAGAATGGACTATATATGTTGAACACCTTATATCTTACTGTCACTTTTACAACATTCACAAAAAAAAATCTAACTAAAATTCACTTTAGAAATGGAGCTCAAATAAGCACTTCATTTTAGTCAGAATATATAACTTAGATAGTTAGTTTCATTTTATAAAATCATTAAAATTTAATGTGAATGAAATTTAAATAGATTCTTATGATAGACATTTTAAATTAATTGAACTCTGCTTGGTTTTAGTAGTTGCCCTCTCTAAATAAATACAATATATTATTTCGGACAATGAGTTTACAGATACAATGTTTATGACAAAATGAAATATAACAACACACACTCACACATTATGATGAAATTCTTGGAAATACTTTATCACATAAAGTAAGAAATGGGGAAACAAATCATAGCATGGCAACTTAAAATAAATAAAATAGTTCAGATTTTTGGATTATTGTTAGAGTATTATCACCAATTTGAATTAATACCACAGTAATTTGGTGAAAGTTACTTTCTAACTTAAAGGCCATCCATCCATTATTAATATTGCAAAATTAAAACTTGATGATTTAAAACAGAAGAGTTCTATTAATAAGATTGAAATTGATGTTTCACTCAAAGAATAAAACCAACTGAAAAATCAATACTATTCTATATTAAGAACTTTTATAAATAAAACAATTCCCTTTTTTCAAAATGTTTCTAGACAATATCACAACAATTAACAAATGGAAACCATAATTTCCTGATATTAATGAGATTAAGTCAATGCTATTTCTGTGGTAATCAGGTTATTCTGGGGCAGGAAAACAATGGTTGTTGACGAGATGCATGACAAGGTAGGAAAATGTTTAAAAACTAATGGGAACAATCATCATATAGGAGATAAATATGCCAGTCCAATGTACACAACCCAGACGAGGAACATTGTTACTGAACCTAGTAAAATATTTTTTTTACCATCAGTAAACTTTCTGGCGACGAACTTCAATGTTTCGTCCAGTATGATGACTGGGATTGATATCTTTAACACTGCTGACCATTCTGCCAAGTTCAATGGGGTGATCTGGAAAATTGTCTGCAAAATAATCAAACAATATGAATATACATATGTAACAAAATCATACCAGCCATGTAAACAGAAGTGTCATTTATATCCCCATATTTTGTATTGATGAATGAAATTTCTTTTTCAGATTTTAAAGACAAATCCCTCTATTGTTTATGCACACATACAAGCACAGCAGTATTATGTCTTCAACAGTTTGTGACGTCAAGGTTTCCACCAACTGGAAACGTTTATAAGAGTTATTCCTCTTTGATCCGATGAAGGAGAATAACAATTGTTTAGCAAGGTCGGTTTGCCGAGAAGAAAATGAAATTGTCCTCAAGATTATTGATGTGTTCCTAAATTGAAAAAAAAAAGTTTTGCTTGCTTTCTTTTTCAAGGAAGAACATAACAAAACAATTTAAGAAACATAAAAATATGTGTATAAAAAATAAGTATAATGTCCCGGGTTGGGGGTAGGGTTGAGTGCTCACAGACATGTTTGATCCCGTCACATTTTTTATGTGCCTGTCCCAAGTCAGGGGCCTGTTGTTCAGTGGTTGTACTTGATTCATGTCTGTCATATTTGTTTTTCATGAATTGTTTTGTTATAAATTAGGCCATTAGTTTTCTCAATTGAATTGTTTCATATTTTTCATGTCGGGGCCTTTTATAGCCGACTATATGGTACAGGTTTTTTCTACTGTTGAAGGTCGTACGATTGCCTATAATTGCTTACATCCACTTCATTTGAACTTTAGTGTCTTATTGGCAATTATACCACATCTCCTTTTTTGCATTAAAAAACAAGGGTAAAACTTAATGCCCCCTCCGCTACAGCGGGGGCATAAAAATAGAAAGAAAAAGAGAGGAAATTACATTAAAGCAAACAAACAAATACCCTGGAGAAGGTATTTATGTTCCATGTTGATGGAATATGCCTTCTATTTTATATGAATAAGAGGAGATGAGGGGTATACGTCAACAATCCAACAACAAATAAACACTGTCAAGAAAAAAACCAAAACTGAAAATTCGTGAGCCAGATGCATCACTCAGATTATAATATAATAATAATTTCCTTCACTTTAAACTTGTATTGACTTATCTATTCTCAAGCGTCAATCGTTATAGTACGCATTTTATAAATTCTTCTCCACAAATAATTAAGAAATTAAATCACCAATTCTGTGATTTTAATTCAAGGTATCTATAGCGTGTGTATGTATATTGAAAATTACTCTGAAGTATTTTTAATGTGTATGGTGTTTGCATTTCTACAAACATATAATTATAATAAATTTGGATTTACGCTAACAATACAGTAATCCAATGATGCATACATGTAACAAGAAGTACAGCTATAGAGTAAACATATGGTCTTATAACACTGTTTTTTTTGTTTTTTTTGTTTTGATTTTAACCATTTTGTTCCCATTTGCCGAGTTTCAACGTTTGTTAAATAGCACATCAAGATTTTCAGGTTCCAGTTGCACAATTGAGTGTATATAACATAAACATGTCTTTGTTCAGTAGTTGTCGGACAGAAAGGTTAGAGAAATGCATATCAATAAAATCATTTCACAAGAGTTTACATGAAAGAAAAGAGGTCGGACCAGGTTCCAATAGACTAGTGTATTTGTAATTTTTCTGGCACATTTTAAAGAAAAAGCAGGCAAAATTGTTCTTTAACAGGATTTGAAAAAAACATATACCGTTTTATGATACAACTTGTACATATTAACTAGAACCCATCTTATAATAATTGCCTTAAACCAAAACTTAATCCTTGTACAGGGCGAACAAATAATTACTTATGAAAACACCCAAAAGGAAAAAAGTGACATGTGACAAACCTAACAGTAATTTTCAACTGAATTACATGAAATATCATCATCTTAATAAGTATAATACTTACAGACATTACTTCTGTGTACAAAATAAGGAAATGAAGAGACATGGAGAGAGCAATGGCACCCAACAACCAAGGGTTGGACCATGGAGGCATAGCTATCAATGACTGGTTCTCACTCAAACTGGAAGTAAAATCAATGTTACAAATTATAACATGCACAAAATCAAAATGCAGCTAGAATCGTCTTTCTTTGACTTCAAAAAAGTCATAGCATGTTTTCTTTAGACTTAGTATGTTTACATATAATGCAGGTTTTTTTCTTCTTTAAATATTTCAGTTATATAATTTTTTTTATTTAAAGGCTAAAACAAGTAATCCATCTTCTTTGGCTAAAAAATACATACAATAAAATGCTCCGCAGGGCGCAGCTTGATACGACCGCAGAGGTCGAACCCTGAACAGTTGGGGCAAGTATGGACACAACATTCAAGCTTGATACAGCTCTGAATTTGGATTGTGATTAAATATTTGACACAGCATAGGTTTCTGACACAGAATGAATGTGGTCTAAGAACTTAAAAATTTTAAATTGGACATTCACCTATTATGGTCCAATATCCAAAATCTAAATACATGGTTAGATTCAGCATATCAAAGAACCCCAAGAATTCAATTTTTTATGAAATCAAACAAAGTTTAATTTTGGACCCTTTTGATCTCAATGTGGACAAAAATGATAACAGGGCCCAAAAATCAAAAATCTAAATACATGGTTAGATTCAGCATATCAAAGAACCCCATATATTCAATTTTTGTAGAAATCAAACAAAGTTTAATTTTGGACCCCGATTTGGACCAACTTGAAAACTGGGCCCATAATCAAAAATCTAAATACATGTTTAGATTCAGCATATCAAAGAACCCTAAAAATTCAATTTTTGTTAAAATCAAACTAAGTTTAATTTTGGACCCTTTGGACCTTTATGTAGACCAATTTGAAAACGGAACCAAAAATTAAGAATCTAAATACACGGTTAGATTCGGCATATCAAAGAACCCCAATAATTCAATTTTTGATGAAATCAAACAAAGTTAAATTTTGGACCCTTTGGACTTCAATGTGGACCAATTTAAAAACGGGGCCCAAAATCCAAAAACTTAATACACGGTTAGATTCAGCATATTACAGAACCCCATATATTCAATTTTTGTTGAAATCAAACAAAGTTTAATTTTGGACCCCGATTTGGACCAACTTGAAAACTGGGCCCATAATAAAAAATCTAAATACATGGTTAGATTCAGCATATCAAAGAACCCCATATATTCAATTTTTGTTGAAATCAAACAAAGTTTAATTTTGGACCCTGATTTGGACCAACTTGAAAACTGGGCCCATAATCAAAAATCTAAATACATGGTTAGATTCAGCATATCAAAGAACCCCATATATTCAATTTTTGTTGAAATCAAACAAAGTTTAATTTTGGACCCCGATTTGGACCAACTCGAAAACTGGGCCCATAATCAAAAATCTAAATACATGGTTAGATTCAGCATATCAAAGAACCCCATATATTCAATTTTTGTTGAAATCAAACTAAGTTTAATTTTGGACCCTTTGGACCTTTATGTAGACCAATTTGAAAACAGAACCAAAAATTAAGAATCTAAATACACGGTTAGATTCGGCATATCAAAGAACCCCAATAATTCAATTTTTGATGAAATCAAACAAAGTTAAATTTTGGACCCTTTGGACCTCAATGTGGACCAATTTAAAAACGGGGCCCAAAATCCAAAAACTTAATACATGGTTAGATTCAGCATATTAAAGAACCCCAAGAATTCAAGAATAAAACCCCATTGAAATTGATCAAGAAATAAGCAATTTATACGAAGTATCTTCTTTTGCACAATACTGTGCAATTGATTATTTCTTGCTATTGCGCAATACTGTACAATTGACAATTTCTTGCTATTGCGCAATATTGTGCTATTGGATATTTCTTGGTATTGCGCAATACTGTGCAATTGAAGATTTCTTGCTATTGCGCAATACTGTGCAATTGAAGATTTCTTGCTATTGTGCAATACTGTGCAATTGAAAATTTCTTGCTATTGCACAATACTTATTATATAATAATTTACACATCCTGTTTGGTGTGTATCTCCTACCATATCATTATTATTTGCTTTTAAATATAAATCAGAAATAACCAACTTAAAATGGAAAATTTTAAAAGAAAAAAAAAAGGAAAAAAAGAAAAAAAAAAGAAAAAAAAAAATCCCCCCCCAAAATTTTTTGAACCCCCTTATGATTCATCACCCCCAAACTCAATCTCAGCCTTCCCTTTGTGGTATGGTACCTTGCAGTACAATTTCAGAGAGATCCATACACTTGAACACAAGTTATTGTCTGGAAACTAGAAAAATGCTTATTTTTGGCCCCTTTTTGGCCCCCAATTCCTAAACGTTTCGGGCAATTACCCCCAAACTCAATTCCAGCTTTCCCTTTGTGATATGGAACCTTGTAGTACAATTTCAGAAATATCCAAACACTTACACACAAGTTATTGTCATGAAACTAGAAAAATGCTTGTTTTTTGCCCCTTTTTTGGCCCCTAATTCCTAACATTTTGAGGCAATTACCCCCAAAATCAATTACAGCCTTCCCTTTGTGATATGGAACCTTGTGGTACAATGTCAGAGAGATCCATACACTTACACACAAGTTATTGTCTGGAAGTTACAAAAATGCTTATTGTTGGCCCCTTTTTGGCCCCTAATTCCTTAACTGTTGGTACCATAACCCCCAAAATCAATCCCAACCTTCCTTTCATGGTATTGAACCTTATGGTAAAATTTCATGGAGATCCATTCACTTAAACTAAAGTTAGAGTGCGAAAACCAATGTGTCTTCGGACGACGCCAGACGACGCCGGACGACGACGACGACGACGACGACGACGACGACGACGACGACGACGACGACGCCAACGTCATACCAATATACGACCAAAAAATTTTCAATTTTTGCGGTCGTATAAAAACAGTTACAAAATGACTACCATATGACTCAATAGCTACAGATGTTCCAAGAATTGAGGAAAAATCCCGACTAAAGCTACTCGGAAAACATCAACATTTTTACATAAAATATACAGTGAATGTAATTCTAGTGTCTTTTAAACACTCCATTAACAAATTTCCATAGATATGCTAATAGTAGGAATACATATCATGGTGTAGGTACAAGAAAAGGGTATTTTATTTTGGGCTTTAAGCACCTAAATGACAGCAGCATACATGTATATGTTATATTTGCTGCTTTAGCAAATTGGAGTCAACTGTTTATGAACATCCGTTTAATATTTCTATACAAACTTTATCACATTAAATGGTAAAAGAAATGTTTACATTGGTATCTTCCACCCTTCCTTACAAAGAATGCTCAAAATTTGACCTCTATATCTATTTAATTTCCCAATACACTTCTGGTATAAAATTTGAACAAAAAAAAAACATGTTTAGGTCAGACTCCAAAAATTACTAAACTGTATGATGAAAAAAATTCTTAACTACCCATATCTCATTGCTTGATGGTCATACAGAGGGCCTTCTATTCTACTTTCATTATTTATGTTATTTTCATCTCACTTGAATGAAATGAGGATTACATGAAATGAACCATCTGTTATTAATTACTGAATCTAAAGATGAGGCAAATATTGCTTTAGAAAAGGATTCAACACATCACTATGTGTTTCCTAGTTCCATAAAATTGGGCTTTGCAGCTGCCTTTGAGAAACTACAAGCTCCAAAGAACATATATACCTTGCCTGGTATCTATGCTCTATGTCAAGAACGGCCCTTTTCATCCCAATGAAGATTAATCAGTCACCTTGTAGTAACTGTTCTTTGCTTTATTTTCAGAATTTAGCATTTGATTTTTGATAAATTTGTCTAATCAAAGCAATAAACTATTTTGACTAAAATTATTCTAACTAGAATAAAACAAAGATTTTTATTTAAAAAGACTTTCCATGAGTTATTTCTGCTGATATTGGTTATAATTGGTCAGCTAGTTGCAGAGGAAATGGTATTAATGTAAAATGTTAATGCAATGATTGTAGACATGTTGATTTTAAATGGTGCGTTTTTTAAACATGAGAAAATTTTTAGAGGTTTAATTCCCAAAACAATGGACACAAAATTTAGAGTAAAGTTTTCATTCAAGTGAACTGAATACAAGTTAATGTAGTGATCTGGTGATCATCAACAACATTTAGGGACAAAATTGACAGGACACATATTTGACATTGAATATTCCTTATACCATGTATTCATTTTTATTCATGGGACACCAATTTTCGTGGATTTATTGGAGAAAAGGTAAACCTCAAATGTAAATGTGCAACAGAGTACAATTTTGTCTATATGCTTGTATACAATCTTTGGCAAAACAATGAAATCAAATAACAAATATACAATTTGTTCTCAATCAACAAAAATTGGTATCCACAAAAATAAATGAATATACAGTAAATAAAACTGGGATTAAAAGTTAAGACTTCCATAAATGTTATCCCACATTCACAAATGTGATGGAATTGCCTTAGATATGCAAAGAGCCTATGTTTACCAATTATGATTGATAGGTAATAACTAACAAATATCATCCACACATAGTAAAATATAAGTTTGTTATTTCTATAAAAGCATACAATAACAACTTTATTTAGTACATATTAGCACTACAAATATGATGATTGGTACTATCTACACTAAACTGACTACTAAAACTTTCAAGTTAATATCAAACATAATCATTACAAGTACAACAATTGTATCTAAATCGACTAAGAAAAATACATATTTTAAATATATCAATCTTTAAGTGGAGTTTGAGCAAATTCCTTCACTGAAAATGTCTGGAATAAAACATGCCTAAAAAAATATTTCTAGTAAGCTGTAGTCCTTTTCATTTAAATGTAGTTAAGGGGGAAATGGATCAACAAATTTCTAGTCTCTTTAATGTCATAAAAATTTTCTGCTGTGAATAATTGTCAATGATTTTTAATGCACTATGAAAAAAATTTCCATCCTTTTGTACCACAAATACCTAAATTATACAGCTGAAGCCATAAAGACTAAATACTTTTTTTCAGGAAAAAAAATCTAGCTATTCATCTTCCTTTACTTTTCATTATTACTTCATTTAACCCAATTTCATGTAATGAACATATTGTTGTGTATATAATTACTGAGTGTCAATAGAAAGGCAACACCCAATTTTTTCCATTTAATAAAAGTTTTTGTTAGAAGTTAACCAATTGTAGTAAGATTTTGCAGATTTCCATAACAGAACTTTTCTAACTGTTCAGAGCTTTCTAATTTTGAGATCCAAATGTTCACATATTCCCTATTTTTTACTAATTTTCCTGGTATGTCTAAAAAGAACTATTCTGTATTGCCATTGAAAAAAGGACTTACCTTGGCATATGATGTGTTGCATTTCTATAAGCACTTAGTATAACTTCAATTAAACAAAATTACACATCACACTTTGTGTGATTCATTAACTTGATAAATTTTATATACAAATTAAGTCCTCAGCATTATTCTGCGAACTGTTATCAACATTTTAAAATTTGCATAAAGTAAACATACTGTCTGCTGGTGGAGGCAACAAGCCAAGGTCAAGAATAGCAGGAGTGCTGGGAATTGAAGCTGATTCTTTATTCATCTTAATAACAAATACCAACTTCATAATTGTTAAACTGAATGAAAATGTAATCCATAAGATATTAAACTCAATTTAAAATTAAATAGCAAAATAATATTTGAACTGAAATAAATCATGATACCGTATTTAAGCAAACTATTCTGATTCTTAAACAAGATAAGAAGCATACAGATATATAGCATGCAGGAATTTTAAGTTATTACTCCAGAATGTCTGGAATAATAAGAACAGCAAAAATCAGAGAAGTGTGTACCATGAAACTGGTCAAAGGAATTTAGCCTTTAACACAAGGCATTTAAACAATTGACAGCTGTTGAAATCACAAAATGCAATGCACTATTAGTGCACAATTAGTTAACCAACATGATGTCACCTGTCCATCTTAATTTCAACAGCTTTCAGTTTCTTTAAAGCCTTCTGTTGGTCAGAAGAATGGTATACACTTATCCTATGTTTGCTGTAACCCTGTACCACAAAGGGATATATAGCCTGGACTTAAATGCATCCAGATGCAGATTAACATGCAAAGAATACTTAATTCGCGATTCAAAATTGTAAAGAAGGAATTGATTAAGTATATTTGTGTCATAATTGTTATCAATTCTGATATACAGCTTTTAGTCTGACAAATCTATCAGATAAATGAAAAGTAAAAATAGGAATTCATGAACATGGATATTCAAAAAGTATTACTGATGTAAAAAGACAAATATTTTGTAAGAGAAGAGTCCAGAATCCCGTATGTAGTACAGGCTTATCTGCATCAGTCATGCAACATTTGACAGGAGTGGGAACTAATATGCTGCCCTTTGTGATTCAGTGTACATTCCTGTTGCTATGCCTGCAGCTCCTTACCTGTTCAAAGCATTCAACATTTCAATGACAACCAGCACGGACAAAGCCATGGTCATTGGATGGGGACTGTCAAAGATATTACAGTTGATGCCTTTAAACATTTCTTCCTGGGCCAAACACTGGGAATGGTGGGTCTAAGGAGAAAGTGTAAGGAATAACATAGTAATGATTTAAAATAAAAGGATGAGAGTAAAACAAGACTTTTTATAGCAGAATATAAACTAAGCATTCTCCTGATATCAGGCAAAGAAAATATAAAACTAACTAGACTAGTTAGAAGTAATATAGCACCAAATTATTAATTAAGAAGGTTCTCATTCAAAGAACAAAACAAGCAAAATTTAGTTCAAAGCCTCTTAAGCAACATATGACTTCATTCAATATTAAATGTAAACATGTCACAAAGACTGTTTCAAGTTACAGTGCATGTCACTTAAATTTATAGAGGCTGATATATTTGGCGTTTTTCATTGATTTTTGGTAATTCAAACATCTATGTGAATATTCTGCTATGAAATAGAAAATATGTTGTATGCTGGTAGGACCAGCACCAGGAGTCCGGATAGCCTGTAAGGAGATAAAATAAAATGCAAGCAAGAAACTATGGAATACTGTAATGGAATTCTCAGAATTTTTGTAATCATTTTCTTCATTAAAATATTGTTAACAATTTCAATTTGAATGATAATGCCGTAGTTTCTTGATACATTAATATTAGGATAATATAGACACTTGTGAAATATACCACTGTTTATCCATTGTCTTAATAATATCTAGTAAAATATTCAACTTTTTTTTCTATGCCGAAATATTTTTAGGTTAGTATCAGAAATATTTCTTTTCAAATTGTTTGAATTCTATGAGCCAAATTTTATGTAATAATGATTTCAAACATGTATTTATCATAAGTGTCTATATAGAACAGATATAAAACCAACACCTTGTACTTGAAAATTGTGCCCTGGTTACCTGTTTAATGCATTGAGCATTTCGATAGTGACCAGTACAGACAGGGCCATTGTCATTGGATGAGGATCATTAAATATATGACAACTAACATCTTTGAACATTCCTGGCTCAGCTGGACATTGCATATGGTGGGTCTGTAATATAGTCAGTAAATAGTCAAATCTTTTCACAAAGCTCAGTCACGTGGATGCTTATTCCTCTTTTATCATAAACTGAGTGACCCAGCTATTTTCATGTTTAATTCACAATACTATTCTTAATAGAAAGTTACTTACTTCCACTACATATCTTATAGAGAAATGTTTATTTTAAAAGAAAAGTAAAGCTTGTAAATTTAGTTTTGATGAATGTCCTTTTTCTGTAAATGCAATGAAAATCAAAATAGTACTTCAATCTTTTATAATTTCAGTTAATAAATCGGAATAAAAATTGCTTATTGTAATGGTAGGTTTTACTCTATTACTGGTTCTCAGTATACTTTAATAAGATGATTATGTGTACTCATTCTATGTTAAGAAATATATCCTTAAAAAGCTGTCATGTTTTTAGATAATAATTTTCTATTTTAAAATTGAGGAGTGTATATTTTTGTATTACTTGGTAATTTGACACAGGTTTATAAAGACACATCCAAGCATCTTATTGCTTGTGAAAAAGATTTTTCACATAATAAGTTTAGAAATTAAATTTATTAGTCTTACACTTGAAATATAGTTTTTTTTTTATTATTACAATTTCTCCATAAAAATAACAGAGTAACTTAATAAAGTCAGCAGCCAGTAAGGAACCTCATCAGTGGTTGTTCACTGTTTTTTTTTTTGTAATTTTAGGAATTTGGTATAGATGGCAGATCTCTGATGGTCTTTGTAAAATTTATTCCAAACTTTTCCATGTGACATACTGTGGATTCATTATTATTGGTTGGATACAATTATCATGGATCTTGTAAGTACAGGTGAACCACAAATTTAAATGTTCAACAAAGTACAATTTTTCTAAAAGTTTGTATGTAGACTTTGGTAAAACCATGAAATCAAATATCCACGAAAATCCAAGAATCCACAGTATTGTATTGACAATTTCTTTACTGTTGAAGACCATATGTTAACCTGTTAGATTGTCTTTTGGGTTTTTTTTGTGTTGTTGAGTTGCTGTCTTATTGATGGCTACACATCTCCTTTAAATCAGTATATATATGTGCGACTGATTAGTCATCATTATTAACTTAGCGTTCACTACATACTATATGTAAAAAGCTTCTTTGTACCACTGATACTTACAAGTTGGTAATAGTTAAGTTTGGGTCCATGATCATAGACCATAAACCACCAAGCTGCTGCTCCAACTGTGGCACAACCAACATAGACTGAAAGGAAAACACACATTTATAGTACGTTTTTTTTACTAAATCTTGTAGTAATCTTACAGGAATAAATATCACAACAAAAACTCATAGAACTTGGAAATAGACCAAGAAAACTAATGGTAATGACAGTATCAGTATCCTAATTTCTGACCTCTGTACTTCCTCACATTTAAAGGCCTATTTGTCATGTAAATAATTTTACAAAGTGAAATGAAATATTTGGGGAATTTTCTAGAATAACAACAATCCAATGGTTCTTTTCCTGGGTCTAATTCTTCCTTTTTTAATGACTCACTTTCTTCCAGGAGTTTATCAAACAATTTATCTTGGAAAAAGTTTTATTTACTTCATTTCACTGTATTTCATTTAAGATGACCAACTGTAAACATAACTTTGAAATTAATTTAAACATCTTCCAATTCTCTCAAAAATTTAATTTTTGAAAATTCTTAAATCTGTAGGTAAAAATTCTAAGAAGATATATTAACAACTTACTTCCAATAGCCATATATCTGAAGAACAACCATCCTGAGATGAGACTGTCTTTGGCACTTCTTGGTTGTTTCTTCATTATGTCAAGATCTGGTGGATTAAATCCTAGAGCTGTGGCTGGTAAACCATCCGTTACCAAGTTAACCCATAACAACTGTACTGGAATTAAAGCTTCTGGGATACCAAGGGCAGCTGTCAGGAAAATACTGTTAACAGAAACAGGCAAATATTATGTCTTACATGCTTCATATAAGATACAAAACATTCATTTACTCTTTATCATCTGATTATATATCAAATACCATGCTGGTCAATATCATCATAAATGGACACAATTCGGTCATAAATGTGTCAACCAGAAAGAAACTCATACTTTTAATATAAATGTATGCAATTCTGTCTTAATTATCAAAATAATAGAGTAGAATTAGGTCAGCTGGCACAAAACTAACCTGACCTCTATCATCTTTTGCCAAGGATAGCCATGAAAACGGGTATGTTCTGTTTTAGTAAAAGAAGCCATATCATTACTTGATCAGTAGGGTAAATATAAGAATTAACAGTAGAACCCTAAGAATGAATGAGTTAGAAGTCTGTTCCCAGTTGACAAAGTAATTTTTAGATATTTATGCAATTTTAGCATGTTAACTTAGGCTGAAAGTAAAATGAGAAAAGCTCACATAATCTTTAAGGTCAGGTCAGCTAAAACCCTGGAGTATAAATCTAAACAGAATTTGATAAATTGCAAGTAAATTGGTCCACACATGCCTGGCTTATGCCATAAACAGTATAAATATCTATAAACTTGTCAATATCATCCACAACAAGTAAAATAATACATACCAAACAACTTCTCCAATGTTTGATGAGATCAGGTAGCGAATAAATTGTTTCATGTTATTGTAGATGGCTCTGCCTTCTTCTACTGCAGCTACAATGGAAGCAAAGTTGTCATCTGCCAATACCATCTGTAAACAGCTGTCAAGGATTCATATTCAAATGTAATTCTAAGAATCAGGAGGAAAAATTTGCTGGATGAAGGATTTGAAAGAAAAAATCCAAAATGCAAAGTCAACAGGGCCATTTAGATCAAGGCTTACAATGGTCACCAACTTGCTAGTGTTATTTAGTTCTTATTCAAAGCTTGAATATACATTCATTCATTTACCCCGAAGTTATCACAAAACATATTTTTTACTATTTTTTATGCTGTTATCTAATTCTGAAATAAATGGGGAATGTGTCCATGGGACAGATGATGCCCCCGCTTGCATATAACGTTATAAAGGGACAAAACTCAAGAACTGTAAAAGTGATGCTACCCAAGGTTGTACTTGATCTGAGTTTTGTGGTAATAAGCATTGTGTATACGTTTCATAACATTTAGTTGAGGCAAACTTTAGAGAACGGATACGAAAAATTCAGCAATTTTTCCATTTGTAAAGGGGCATAACTCTATAGCTAGTACGGCAAAAGTGACGCCACCAAAAATCAAACTGGATCTGTGTTTTGTGGTAATGAGCATGGTGTATAAGTTTCATAACATTTGGTTGAGGCAAACTAAAGTTAGAGAACGGAAACAAGCAATTTTTCCATTTGTAAAGGGGCATAACTCTAGAACGGAATAAAATGCTCCGCAGGGCGCAGCTTGATATGACCGCAGAGGTCGAACCCTGAACAGTTGGGGCAAGTATGGACACAACATTCAAGCTTGATACAGCTCTGAATTTGGATTGTGATTAAATATTGGACACAGCATAGGTTTCTTACACAGAATGAATGTGGTCTAAGAACTTAAAAATTTTAAATTGGACATTCACCTATTATGGTCCAATATCCAAAATCTAAATACATGGTTAGATTCAGCATATCAAAGAACCCTAAGAATTCAATTTTTGATGAAATCAAACAAAGTTTAATTTTGGACCCTTTTGACCTCAATGTGGACAAAGTTGATAACGGGGCCCAAAAATCAAAAATCTAAATACATGGTTAGATTCAGCATATCAAAGAACCCCATATATTCAATTTTTGTTGAAATCAAACAAAAAAAAGTTTAATTTTGGACCCCGATTTGGACCAACTTGAAAACTGGGCCCATAATCAAAAATCTAAATACATGTTTAGATTCAGCATATCAAAGAACCCTAAAAATTCAATTTTTGTTAAAATCAAACTAAGTTTAATTTTGGACCCTTTGGACCTTAATGTAGACCAATTTGAAAACGGAACCAAAAATTAAGAATCTAAATACACGGTTAGATTCGGCATATCAAAGAACCCCAATAATTCAATTTTTGACGAAATCAAACAAAGTTAAATTTTGGACCCTTTGGACCTCAATGTGGACCAATTTAAAAACGGGGCCCAAAATCCAAAAACTTAATACACGGTTAGATTCAGCATATTAAAGAACCCCAAGAATTCAAGAAAAAAAAACCCATTGAAATTGATCAAGTTATAAGCAATTTATACGAAGTATCTTCTTTTGCACAATACTGTGCAATTGAATATTTCTTGCTATTGTACAATACTGTACAATTGACAATTTCTTGCTATTGCGCAATATTGTGCTATTGGATATTTCTTGCTTTTGCGCAATACTGTGCAATTGAAGATTTCTTGCTATTGCGCAATACTGTGCAATTGAAGATTTCTTGCTATTGTGCAATACTGTGCAATTGAAAATTTCTTGCTATTGCACAATACTTATTATATAATAACTTACACATCCTGTTTGGTGTGTATCTCCTATCATATCATTATTTTTGCTTTTAAATATAAATCAGTAATAACCAACTTAAAATGGAAAATTTTAAAAGAAAAAAAAAGGAAAAAAATAAAAAAAAATAAAAAAAAAATAAAATCCCCCCCCCAAATTTTTTGAACCCCCTTATGATTCATCACCCCCAAACTCAATCCCAGCCTTCCCTTTGTGGTATGGTACCTTGCAGTACAATTTCAGAGAGATCCATACACTTGAACACAAGTTATTGTCTGGAAACTAGAAAAATGCTTATTTTTGGCCCCTTTTTGGCCCCCAATTCCTAAACGTTTCGGGCAATTACCCCCAAACTCAATTCCAGCTTTCCCTTTGTGATATGGAACCTTGTAGTACAATTTCAGAAATATCCAAACACTTACACACAAGTTATTGTCCTGAAACTAGAAAAATGCTTGTTTTTTGCCCCTTTTTTGGCCCCTAATTCCTAAAATTTTGAGACAATTACCCCCAAAATCAATCCCAGCATTCCTTTTGTGATATGGAACCTTGTGGTACAATGTCAGAGATATCCATACACTAACACACAAGTTATGTCTGGAAGTTACAAAAATGCTTATTTTTGGCCCCTTTTTGGCCCCTAATTCCTTAACTGTTGGTACCATAACCCCCAAAATCAATCCCAACCTTCCTTTTGTGGTATTGAACCTTGTGGTAAAATTTCATAGAGATCCATTCACTTAAACTAAAGTTAGAGTGCGAAAACCAATGTGTCTTCGGACGACACTGGACGACGCCAGACGACGACGACGTCGACGCCAACGTCATACCAATATACGACCAAAAAATTTTTAATTTTTGCGGTCGTATAAAAAGTGACGCCACCAAAATTCAAACCTGATGTGTTTTGTGGTAATAAGCATAGTGTATAAGTTTCATAACATTTAGTTGAGGCAAACTAAAGTTAGAGAACGGAAACCAATTTTGGGATGTACGGACGGACGGACAGGCGTACAGACTGAAAAGGGTAAAACTAAATGCCCCCTCTGCTACAGCGGGGGCATAAAAATACTCTCATCAGTAGTTTTTTTCCTCTTGTATTTTCTTTTAAATCAATATTACTTCTAGTCAATGCTAGCAAAATTATATCATGCTACAAATATGATTTTACAAAATAATTATTCAACATGTAATAAAGGATATCAGAAGCGGTCTTTGCCACAGCAGTACCAGAACCCATAGCAATTCCAATCTCAGCTTTCTTCAGAGCAGGGGCATCATTTACACCATCACCTGTCTAAAGATAAATCATATTCTCAAATTATTTTCAAAATAATGCAAAATAATGTTTTAATCATTATCTGATAAATGGAAGTACAAATAAAGAGAAATATTGTCAGCTCATTTTTTTGTATTGACAAGTTAGGCTTTGTTTCCCTTTAATATAAAACTTTAAACATTCAAGTCAAAAGTGTGAAATTTCCATGTAGTTAGTGACCCTATGTTGAATGGTAATTTATTTCTAAAAGATTTCAAATGTTTAACTTCTTATCTACCGCAGGCACCTTTACAGTTCACTGATTAGATAGCTACTGTAGCTGATATGTAGGTTAACTTGTTAAATCCTTGAGATAATTTGTAGTGAGAGAATTTTTTCAGCTGTGTTATGAGGACTCTTAATTAAATGTTCAATTAAATAGTAATTTTAAAAAATCAATTTCTTTCTTTTCTTTTTCAAGCTGGAAAGCTGCCCTAGACAGACATGAAATGTCGTGACTAGGGTTTATTCAAATTATTTGCTTCTTCATCCTGGGAAGACTCCCAATCCGGAAAACATCCCTTTTGTCAAAATCTGATTGAGTAAATCATTCAAATTCTTCACTTTCTTCGTCAGATTTAAAGAATGAAGCCCATTCATCTGCCACGGTTTTAATCACATTCTAAACTCGTGTAAAATTCATCATAATTTAATGTAAACACATATCTTTCAAAGAAAAGGAATTTACTAGTTAAAAGATAAGTCATTTGTTAAACCCAATTCCCCATTCTTTGTAACATATATTTAACAACACTTACCATAGCTGAGACTTCTCCTTCTCCCTGTAGATATTCAATAATTTTACTTTTGTGAGTTGGTTCTACACGTGCAAATAGACGAGCCTTCATAACAGCCCTTCTTTGCTCTTCCATAGACAGGTCATCAAACTCTCGTCCAGTAAATGACAAGCCTTCTGTTGATTCATTTTCACCAAATACCCCAATTCTTCTGCAGATTGCCTCAGCAGTAGCCTACAGTTAAAAAGAATGGAGTCTATAAATAAATAGCAAACATTGGTTATTTCTTCTCCAAAAAAATAAAAAGAGAGACAAAAATATATACCATCCACTTATAAATTATTGCTAGTCTTCCATGCAGAACTAATTGTTGCTCTCTCTCTGTATTAGATAAGGTATGTTATTTGGGATTTCTTGACAAAACAAGAATAAAGAATAAACTTGCCAGAATATTCATCATGTTGAATGTGGGCAGTATTTGGAAGAAGAAGAAGAAAGGTAAATAGGACTGCATGCCCCACTCACATCATCTTATTTCCATGTTTGTTCAGTGAATCAATACCCTAATTCGGCATATTTTTTTTTTTTAAATTCACATCAACATGCTTGGTAAGTTTCAAGTTGAAGTAACCACAACTTCATTGTAAATAACCTGTAACAAATATTTAACCTGAAATGAGACAGATGGACGGACACAGACTGAATAACATAATGCTCCTTTCTATCGTAAGTGAGGAATAAAATGGCATTTTACTTTTGCAAAGTCAAGATACATATAAAGGAGTATTTAGCAAGCATTAAAAAAAGATAGCCATTCTAAATATCATTTTTAGCTACTCAAGTCAACTTCAAAATTCAGATATTCAAGGAGGGCAGACATTCTCTTTCTCATTATCCATCTACAAATATATATCTATATGAGTAAAAGTTGAGAACATATCAATGACAGCAACCCACATGTACCAAAAAAGAAAAAGATAAATGGTATCCAAACTTTATACAATTGCTTATGATTTAGAAAATTTGGGAAGTTTGGAGCTGATTTAAATAATTTAAACAAGGCAAATTTTAAACAGATGAAAATAGTGCCAAAGAGGCCAAAATTTTTATTTTTTAAAAGATATATGTTAAGTGAAGTACCTTGTTATCACCAGTGATGACAATGACTCTGATTCCAGCATCACGGCACCTTTTAATGGAGTCCATTACTTCTGTACGTGGAGGGTCCAACATTCCAACAACACCAACAAAGGTCATATTTGTCTGTATAAAAGGATCAAACAATTACTACTTTTACAATTTTTTATTGTATGACACTTTGTACAAATACATTCATGAACAGAGATGAATACCAGTTTGAACTTTTAGTACCTTAAAACTATAAAAAATATTTCAGTCTTTGATTTCAGTACACCTCACTTATGTATAAAATCTCAGAAATTATTAGCAAGGCCACATTTTTTTCATTTACTGTAAATCTGGACATAATCTTCCTATTCTAATCCATCTTAGATCTCCCAAAGTGAAAAGGTAGGTCTTCAATTCAGGACCGACAAATGTTAAGACTGATTTAGAAGTAGTTTTAAATGGTGGTTACCAAATTGCTTTGTAACATTTAAAAATGTCACCCCCAGTTTTTGGTGGGGTTCGTGTTGCTTAGTCTTTGGTTTTCTATGTTGTGTCATTTGTACTATTATTTGTCTGTTTGTCTTTTTATTTTTGGCCATGGCGTTGTCAGTTTGTTTTCGATCTATGAGTTTGACTGTCCCTCTGGTATCTTTCGTCCCTCTTTTAAAACTATTTTGTGTTTCAACAACATGAAATTTTGACCCACAACGGAAAGATGCATATTTTCTTTATGGAAATTTCAGAATTCTGAACTTGATTTTTTATTTCCTAAGGCTGCTGTACGTATGTAGTCAAAATCTTTCTTTTTGTTAAACATTTTTGAGCAAGATTATTAATGTGCTTTGTACCATTCTAAAATCTAAAAAAAAAAACATACCTCATACTCAATAAACTTCCTAGAATCTTCCAAGTCCATATCTTCTCTACGTGGTGGGTTATCAATGGTGGCTAATGCCAAGCATCGTAGGGTGTCACGTCCTAAAATATTAAGTTGTTATTTTAAATTGTGACTAAAAATTTAATTTTATAGATACTAGTTACATGATATTAGATAAATAACGAATGTGTCCAGTGGACACAGATGCCCACGCTTGTAAATACGTCAAATTCAGAAATTTTTCATTTACAAATGGGACATAACTTGAGAATGGTGAAAGTGACGCCACCAAATTCAAATTAGATCTGTGTTTGGAGGTAATAAGCATTGTGTAAAGAGTTTCATAACATTTGGTTGAGGCAAACTAAAGTTAAGAGTGTGGAAATGGCAAATTAAGCAATTTTTCCATTTCCAAAGGAACATAACTCTAGAATGATCAGTGTGATGCCACCCATATTTCAAACTTGATCTGTGTTGGGTGGTAATATGCATTGTGTACAAGTTTCATAACATTTGGTTGAGGCAAACTACAGAAAGAGTGAGGAAACAGCAAATTTAACAATTTTCACATTTATAAAGGGACACTTGAGAACAGTGAAAGTGACGCCACCCAAATTTGAACTTGATCTGTGTATGGTGGTAATAAGCTTCATACCATTTGGTTGAGGCAAACTAAAGTTGGAGAACAGAAACTAATTTTTGATGTACAGACGGACAAGGGTAAAACTTAATCCCCCCTCTGTCGCGGCTGGGGCATCAAAGTCTTTGATTACACAGGTCCCTAAAATGATTTAAAATCATTATGTGTTCTAGATCAGTATCATATCCCATAATAAATGAAGCATCAGTTCTGTAAGAGTAAAAATAATATCACCATTTATACACGTCAGCCTGAAATATCTGATTATTCAGAGTCAAACCACCAGTTGCACTCCTCTATCAGACAAACATACACATGTATATGAACTTCCAATACAGGTATCAAAGTTTAAAACCTAAGCTTTGTAATGAAAATGAAAATAATTCCGACATGCCTCAATCTTATTTGTTTCCCTTTAATAACATAAAGTAAACTAGCTACTATTTCTAAATGATACACGAGTTACAGTTCACTTACCTGTTCCATATGCTGCTACATGTTTCATGATTTCATTTTTAATGGCTGGAGACATGGGTACTTTAGTACTACCAACTCGGACATGGGTACATCTGTCTAATATTCCTTCTGGTGCTCCCTAAAAATCAATATTTTGATCCATTATGCTTTTTATAATGACATTCATAAATATAAGTAATGACAACGCTGTATATGAAACCTCTTACTAAACATTGCAAGCTTTTTCAGGTCATCTGTTGCTTCAAGAAAATTACTCTTCAAGACCTTTTTCAACTTTTTTTCAGACAATGTACAAACACATATTTAACATGTATGCCTTTTTTCAAATTTTCATTATGGAATCAATCTCATTTTTTTTGATGAATGACATACATACCTTTGCAAACATTTTACATCCTTGAGCAGTCCTGGTGGGTTTGTTAGGTGAACAATACACACTCATAGATTTCCTGTCACGGGAAAACTCCAATGTAAATTCCTTTTTCCACATTTGAGAAATGACATGATTGCAAGCTGTACCCTTTTCTCGTTTGTTCAATCCTGTTTTGTCTGTATTATAATAGTCCATTTTCTCTACTAACACAGTCAAAGCAGTTTCTGTCGCTTCACCAACCTTTTCATACACTTCCTTTGTCTTTAAATAAAATAAGATCACACTTTACTTAAAGCTGACTTATGCTTTACAATTAAATTCTAATTTTCAATGCTCCTAAAAAATACTAAAGTAATGGTGCCTTGATTGTCTTTTGTAATGAACATTTTTACTGAATATGGTTGACCAACTTTGTTAACAGATGTGATTTCTTTGTGGTAGTTTTCTTTTCCAAGTTTTTTATCATTATTATTAAACAGAAAAATTCTGTGTAACTATCAGAATGCAAAAAATAACCTTACACATTTACCAAAGAATGGAGCTACAATGGGTAAAGGGAGATAATCTAAGTACATCCATACTAAATCTCTCTATTTCCCTTCGAATAAAAGATCTGGCTAAATGTGAGAGTTTTTTTTTTTTTTTTTTTTTTTTTTAAACAAATCCCATATGCTATTCCAACTAAATTTTGAAAATGGGCCAATACCACTGCTGGTGGACTGCTAGTCCCCAAGGTTTTCATTCAATAAAATTGTTAAGCACAGACTGATTGATATATTACATAAAGTGATAAATTTTCAGTTCATTATTTTAGGGCTATTCCATTAAAATGTATGTGGGAGGGTAGGAAGGGACTTTCAAAATATCCCTACAACCAAGAACCATTTTTTAGATAATTTTGCATAATGGTAATAGACGCATACTGAAAAAAGACCCATGACCCACATTCAATAATTACACTTCCCTTCCAACCCTCCCACATACATTTTAATGGAATAGCCCTTATTTCTTTTAAAGTTCTGTACAATGTATTTTTGACAAAGTTCCTCTTAAATGATTTTGGCTAGTCTTTTTTTTTTACTATTTATTAATAATTTGTCCAAATGTATTTACACATTAATGGTTGTAATTTCTTTTTTTACAGCATTCATGATGAAAATTAAGAACTCTGTACGTCTGACTTTGAATAAGTTTGTTTTTCTAATCTAACACTTACATCATTGTAATCAACACTAGAATCATTACACATTACACACACTGTAGCTAGTTCTTCTAACCCAGGATAATCACCAGTCTTTACTTTCTTTCCACCTAAGTAACTGAAATAACAAATGCCAAATATAAGATAATGGTGGTGATAGCAATGTCATGGAAGGATATTAGTAGCTATAGATGTGGCACCCATCCCATAAAAAAACTTTAAACTAACCTTACATCATAGAAACATTGCATTTATTTCTGTAAGATCAGCATCTAGATCAGACTTAAATTTTGGATTCTTACTTTGACATAAATGAAAGGTGGTTGAAATTCATCCGTAATAAGGTAATGTCACCATTCAAAATATCTAACTTTTCTTTTATTCAAGTTTGACAACCAGAATAAAACAAAAGTTGTGTCAATCTTATCATTTTGTAATGAAAACACTGTTTTCTACTGATGAATAAATAAGTGAATTCCAAAGCTTTAAATATGACACATAGATATGGCAGGTGCAGTACCACTAGCTAGAAAGAATCAACTTCATAATATGCCTGTTTAGAAAATCTAAATTAAGTTTTACTATAACCTTGTATTGATTGTATAATGTGTTTTGTTGGGAGTACTTACATGTCACCTTCAGGGGCATATGTAGATCCTGTGATTTCAAACTGATCTGTCTTAACATCATTTCCTTCTATTTTGGCAAATGTGAACATCTAAAATAAGCATATACAAAATTTGTACTGATTTTTACATTAACAACAAAAACATTTATAGCTTTGAATTTAAATAGTGTCAAGATAAGATATGTGACCCAACTTGTTGTCTAATTCCTAGGGTCAAAATTTAGGGAAAGAAAGTCAGAGAAAGGGCTTCAAACACAGTTGAACAGATTTAAATGTTTCATTTTGAAATAGATAATTCTTCACTGAACAAAAATTAGGTAATTTGATATTGAACTTTGTGTGTTTAATATTTTGTTAGTTACTTAAGTTTATATTAAGAATAGATGCAAATAATTGCCATCATCATGAGACAAAAATAGAATGTCATTTGCAATCTAAGTGATACAAAAAATGGACTAGTGATGTTTTGACAATTACACAAACACTAATTTATTACTGCTCATTATCTACTGTAAACTAATTGGTACCATGTGTAGTGATGAAAATAGGAAACATTAAATAATTAATGTTACAACATTCCTGGCACTAGTGTACATATGTACTAACAACTTATTTCATCTTATGTAATCTCATTAATCAGTCTGATCTAGAACCAAAACACCCAAACCTCAAGCAACATATAACCAAATGCACAAGTTGTAAATAATTCATTACTTTGGCAAAACTGACCAAATTCTCAGATGTTTGGGTTTTTTTTGCAACCTGCTGGTAATTTTTAGTCACCTTTTCCTAAAGTGATTAAAAGTTTTTCTTGAATGGGGCCAGAATTTGTGTATTTTGCTAGATGAATGGTACAAATCTACATACTCTACAAACAGACATCTGATTGGTTGTCAGGGTACCAGTTTTATCAGAACAGATTACTGAAGTACAACCAAGAGTTTCTACTGAGGGTAAACTTCTCACAATAGCATTTTTCTTGGCCATTCTTCGTGTACCTGAAATATAAAAAAAAATAAGAAATTACTAGTATGTATTGGCAATTTTTAAGTTTGTCTTTTTATTCTCATGGATTCATCATCATTTGTGCGAAACCAATTTTCACTGTTTCCTTGGTGTAGGCTAACCACAAATTTAAGTGTTATTGAACTACAAAATTTCAGCTTGTATGCAAACTTTGGCAAAACCACAAAATCAAGTATCCACGAAAATACATTTTTTCCTCAATCCACAAAAATTGGTACCCACAACTACAAATGAATTCACAGTATATATTAATGGGTTCACAAGGTCCTTTGAAAAGTGTTTTTTTTTTAGACATTTTGAAGTTATCTACAATGCTAAGAGCTGTCCAAGGCAGCATTTAGCTAACCTGCTAGGATTGACCACTACTGCAGTAGTACTTATAATTTGTAATCTATTTGAAAAAGTTGTATGACCTTTTGTGAAGCATAGGGATAGACTTATAAGGGATTGTATGTCTTACTTAATCTTGCAATAGAAAGACAGCATTAATGAAACATTTTCAATTTTGCTATGTATTTATTTTCATTTCTTTTTTTTTATTTTATCCAAATACTTGAACATAAATGGTCTTTTGTAAAGGTTCTTTAACTATGTCCAAATTTTGTGCCCATCACAAGTAAAAGAATAATGGCTATTCTGTCAGTCTTGTCTTTTTTGTTAAGTGTTCCTACATTATTTTTTGGTTGTGCTACCATGTTCAGAGTCTGGAATCAGCACTATATCAATGTTTAGCTTACTATCATGAGGGTTTCTATCAGTAGAGGAGACCAGAACTATCTAATATCATTGACATTCTCTAAACATAACTTTAAGAAAGTTGCAAAAAATTTGTATTGCATATATAGATTTGGGAAAGACTTAGTAAGCAGTATAAGTTAAATTGTGTGGGCTATAGGATAGGATGACACGTATTCCAGCCAACCAGAGACCAGTTAAAATTGTAATGATATTAAGAAGGATATATGTGATTGTTCTAAGAAAGGGAATAGTTGAGGAAAGGAAGGACCAGTGGAATTCACATACAAACCTAAAGCAAGACAAGTTGTAATGACAGCTGGTAAACCTTCTGGGATAGCAGCCACAGCCAAAGCAACCGCAATCTTGAAATAATAGATAGCTCCCTAAAAATATATAAATATTGCAATCAATGAATATTCAAGTAAATCTTTGCCTGACTTCCTGATTAATTATTCATAATGAGTCTTTTAAGTTTCACAAATATCCAAACCAATAACATCTATTACCTATATATATACATCTATTACATGCAAACATCTAATAAAACTATCTTTTTATGGTCAGTATATATTGGAATATTGACCCTTTAATGCAAAAATGTTCCCCAGAGAGTGTAACCTAACATACATTAACTTCCTGTTTAAAACAGAATTATGGCTTGGAGTCAGATTCTGGAACTTATCACTTTAGCAATAATGTCATCCTTTAGCTGGGATGAAAATGAAACTTTGCAATATATCAATATATATGACTGAACACTTAACATGGACAATATCCAATGTCACAATATTTGTTTATTTAGTCTGCCACAAGCCAATAAATCTTCACATTTTTGGTTTCAGATTTTTAGTCAGTACACTGCTTATTGATCATTTAAAACTATTAACAAGGCTAAAGTACTTCAGACATATATGTAATTTCCCGGAAATCAACATTCTCTTTCTAATCCATCAAATCAAAATAGTTTTAATACCTTCAGAAAAAAGCATTTTTTTGGAAACAACTAAATGTTACATGCATACTATCCTAATTTAGTATTCTATATTACACATGTTACACCCTTAGTAGCAATATTAATTGTCCCTCATCTGCAAAATAAACTCAATGAAAGTGTTTTTCTATGATAATGATAAATTTCAATATCAGAACTAAAGCTACATGTATTATTACCATTGGGGGAGTTTTCTTATATGTAGATATCATCTGTTTTCAGACCGTTTTGATTAAAGTCAGATAAATGGATACTGTAAATTCAGAAATTATTGCGATGTTTTTATTATTGCGAAAAATGCGACAGGGTAATAATCGCAATAATTTAAACTCGCATTTTGAACTTTTTTATATGAATTAAACAGGATTTTTCTCAATATGGCAAAAATTAAAATCGCATTTTAGTTTAAAATAACAAAATCGCAATAATAAATGCACGCAATAATTTCTGAATTTACAGTATTGTGTCCATGCTATAACAATGATCTGATTTACCTCTTTGCCTATAATTGTGTTATTATTTACAAATTAATCCTACATGGTATCATTAAAAAGCTTACCTTGACCCATGATCCACCATGAGCTGGATCATTGAAATGTCCGATGTTGATGGCCCATACAGCAATACAAATAATAGTAATCACCTGAAAAAAGCCAAATAGTAAACATATCATTTAATAATGAAGCACAGCTACAGCAGATGCAACAAACACTTTTAAAAGTCAATTCTGAGAAATATTGTCGCTTTATGGGAAAAAAAAGTGCTCAGGCAAAAATCTGTTGAAAAAATGAAATCACAGTACTATTTGAAATACATATTAAATAAATTTAATTGATTCAGAAACAGGTGGATACACTTATGAAAATCATTTTTTCAAAAAAGTTCTAAAAATATACAATAATACAAGTGTTTAGCTATATATCTGGCCATCAATAGTAATGTTGAACTATCCAACTAACCAAAGGTAGACAAGTGTTTCCCTATCCTAATGTTCAAAGGTAGAAATGTGTTTGACTATATCCAACTGCCAAATCCAGAGTTTTTCTATTTGACAAAAACAGTAGACAAGAATTTTCCTATTCTAATGTTCAAAGGTAGAGATGTGTTTGACTACCCTACTAACCAAGGGAAGACAAGTGTTTGACTATCCCAATGTTCAAGGGTAGACAGGTGTTTGACTATCATTACTATCTGACAACAGGTAGACAAGTGTTTGACTATCATTACTATCTGACAACAGGTAGACAAGTGTTTGACTATCATTACTATCTGACAACAGGTAGACAAGTGTTTGACTATCCCAATGTTCAAGGGTAGGCAGGTGTTTGAATATCATTACTATCTGACAACAGGTAGACAAGTGTTTGACTATCCCAATGTTCAAGGGGCTATCGTTCTGACAACAGGTAGACAAGTGTTTCAATATCCTATTGTTCAAAGAACCAGGCATTTGAGACAGTGATTTACTTTTCTAATGAGAAATGGCTGATAGCCCATGAGTAGACAACTTTATTTCTTTATATCTGTGGAATTCATAAGGATGTTCAACCCAAATATGTCTATCTAAAATCAATTAATCTTAGTTTACTTATCAATGAAGACATAAACTTAACTTGATCATGAAAAAAGTGCATATAGCTAAAGTGATTTACATTTGTTTGAAAAAAAAGATACCTAAGGGTTATTCAAAAATCATCAGTCAACAGACAATACTTGCCTAAAGAAAAACAACAAATATGTTATTTGATAAGGGACTTTCCAATTTGAATTTTCCTTGGAGTTCTGTATTTTTGTAATTTTACTTTTTACACCACATCTAAAACTATAGACTGATCAACACGAAACCAACTAAAATCGTAGAGTTAATTCAGGGGCTCAACATATATCCTTGATAAAGCAAAGCACTGACAAAGTGTTTGAATTTACATAATCAAAGACTTCAAAAATATAAATGAAGATTTACAAGAGGAATGCAGATGCAAAACATAACTGTCATTACAAAACTTCAGCTGCAATTATTTACCATAGAAACTAATAAATGCTATAGACAACAGCCAAGAGTTATCATTGCTACAGTCATACAATCTTGGTAATAAATGTTCAGACAAGATATCTCTTCATATCTCATTAAAGTTTCCTCATAACATTAAAAAAAAAAATCTTGCTCTTTATATAAAAGAAACAAACCAATCTCAATGATGTACTGCCCATAATCCATGTGTATGATTTCAAAGAAAATTTGGGTTATTAAAGATCATCATATTTGATGTAGATGAAACTATGACTTCTAATAAATAAAATTTAATGGATATCAACAAGATCAAAGAAGATTTTATATTAATTTGAATAAAAGATTTTCTGAAAATTTACTGAAAGGTTTAAAATTATGAAGAAACAAAGATACATGTATTTGTTTATTATGCTTTAATCATCTTCAAAGGACCCTTCCCAAAAGGAAGAAAATTGCATTAACTGTTCATGTGAGGTGATTGCAAAAGATGCAAAACCTTCTTGCAATCGACGAGCAAAAGAATAATGTTTAATACTAGATTATTTGAACTAGTGTTAACCAATGGGACTGGAGGAGTTAAATAAAATGTGAAAATTGTTTTTCTCACCAAGACATTTTTTTTTTAACATTGACCAGCCAACAGAAATTAATTGATTTTCTGCTGTTTGTCTGATGTCCAGCAGCAAATATTTCATGAATATTCATGACTGAAGAAAATAAATATTGACCACTGACCAAAATAGATAAAAATATGTCATAATAAATGCTCCGCTGGGCGCAGCTTGATACGACCGCAGAGGTCAAACCCTGAACAGTTGGGGCAAGTATGGACACAACATTCAAGCTTGATACAGCACTGAATTTGGATTGTGATTAAATATTTGACACAATATAGGTTTCTGACACAGAATGAATGTGGTCTAAGAACTTAAAATTTTTTAATTTACCCATTCAACCCATATCATTATTGTTTGCTTTTATATATAAATCAGAAATAACCAATTTAAAATGGAAAATTTTAAAGAAAAAAAAAATACCTCCCCTAAATTTTTAGAACCCACTTATGATTCATCACCCCAAACTCAATCCCAGCCTTCCCTTTGTAGTATGGTACCTTGCAGTACAATTTCAGAGAGATCCATACACTTGAACACAAGTTATTGTCTGGAAACTAGAAAAATGCTTGTTTTTAGGCCCCTTTTGGCCCCAAATTCCTAAACGTTTAGGGCAATTACCCCCAAACTCAAACCCAGCTTTCCTTTTGAGATATGGAACCTTGTAGTACAATTTCATAAAGATCCATACACTTACACACAAGTTATTGTCCTGAAACTAGAAAAATGCTAGTTTTTTGCCCCTTTTTGGCCCCTACTCCTAAAATTTTGAGGCAATTACCCCCAAAATCAATCCCAGCCTTCCCTTTGTGGTATGGTACCTTGCAGTACAATTTCAGAGAGATCCATACACTTGAACACAAGTTATTGTCTTGAAACTAGAAAAATGCTATTTTTGGCCACTTATTCCTAAACGTTTAAGGCAATTACCTCCAAACTCAATTCCAGCTTTCCCTTTGTGATATGGAACCTTGAAGTTCAATTTCAGAAAGATCCATACACTTACACACAAGTTATTGTCCTGAAACTAGAAAAATGCTTGTTTTTTGCCCCTTTTTGGCCCCTACTCCTTAAATTTTGAGGCAATTACCCCCATAATCAATCCCAGCATTCCCTTTGTGATATGGTACCTTGTGGTACAATGTCAGAGAGATCCATACACTTGAACACAAGTTAATGTCTGGAAACTAGAAAAATGCTATTTTTGGCCCCTTATTCCTAAACGTTTCAGGCAATTACCCCCAAACTCAATTCCAGCTTTCCCTTTGTGATATGGAACCTTGTAGTTCAATTTCAGAAAGATCCATACACTTACACACAAGTTATTATCATGAAACTAGAAAAATGCTTGTTTTTTGCCCCTTTTTTGGCCCCTAATTCCTAAAATTTTGAGGCAATTACCCCCAAAATCAATCCCAGCATTTCCTTTGTGATATGGAACCTTGTGGTACAATGTCAGAGAGATCCATACACTTACACACAAGTTATGTCTGGAAGTTACAAAAATGCTTATTTTTTGCCCCTTTTTGGCCCCAAATTCCTTAACTGTTGGTACCATAACCCCCAAAATCAATCCCAACCTTCCTTTTGTGGTATTGAACCTTATGGTAAAAGTTCATGGAGATCCATTCACTTAAACTAAAGTTAGAGTGCGAAAACCAATGTGTCTTCGGACGACGACGACGCCAACGTCATACCAATATACGACCAAAAATTTTTTAATTTTTGCGGTCGTATAAAAAAGCTAACAAGAAATAAGCTGTCAAATTGACAGCAAACAGTGTTTTCTGTATTTAGACGGCACTTTCGTGCTTGTTTGACTTGCCATATTTTGTGTCTATTTTCCAATCTATCAAGGACTATAACTACTAAAGAGTAAATCGCCAATATCAAACAAGACCTCCATTTTGTCATCAGTAACAGCATATCAAAATTTGAAAAGCATTGGAGGAAAGGTTCACAAGTTATTGAACAAAAAAGACATAAAGTGCCATTCTCTAATAATATATATACATGTAGATATAAGAAGTTATTGAATGGTAACTGTTGGCAGCTACAAATGTACCTGCCGCAGTATAAAATGTACTTTGTGTATGATTTGTCAAAACATTGTCTGAACTTACTTGTCCTTCAAACTGAGTTATTTATTAAACCACAACAATATTCATTTAACAAGTCAAACAATCTGTCTTTTTCATTTTCACATTTCATTAAATTCTTACATACAAATTTTGTAATATCTAGTCTGGTGCCAGTTCTACCTAAAAGTTTAATTACATGTACATGTAGCATGCAAACAGACAAACTAAAAATTTATACACTTGAATAATATTCTGGTAAACCCAATCGCCTTGACGTGGACACCACCATGAAAGAGAAATGTAGGAAGACCAAAGGAAACTTGGAGACGAATGGTAGACAAAGAAAGAACAGCATTTGGATGGAGGACATGGGGAGAAGCACAACAAGAAGCAGCAGACAGACTCAGATGGAAGGCTTCCATTCGCGCCCTATGCGACACATGGCGATAACGGGAGTTGTAAGTAAACCCAGGAATATGAAGATTATATACTTTTGTATATATGTTTATTTCAGATCAATATATAACAGAATCCAAGTCTAATACTTCAAATCCAATCAAACTATTTATAATTGATTTCTGAAATTCTGTTTCCCCTTTGTATTGATAGTTTGTGAATTATATTATCTACACTGGATTGGTCACTAGTGATTACAAGCACCATATAGATTGTAACTGAAAGAAATATCTGTATAGATATTGTCCACAAATGGGTGGATATAAGATTTATTAACCCAAAAATATAATACAATTACCAACACCATTGGCTGTGGTTAATATAATTTATTCTTGCTTTAATAAATGTTCTATCCAACAGGTCACAGTTATATTACATTACACAGGTTATTTTTTTCTGTTTTTGTGCTGAAAATGTTGTTAGTTTTCTCATTTGAATTGTTTCATATTTTTCATGTCAGGCCTCAGGGCCTTTTATTGCCAACTATAGGTATGGGTTTTTCTCACTGTTGAAGGCCGTACGGTTGCCTATAATTGTTTACATCTACTTCATTTGATGATGATGATGATGGATGGCTGCTTGACGTCCAGTGGCAAATTAATATGCATAATCAGGACGAAAAGATGTTAATGTAATATGGATATCAACCCTACTTTGTACTAGACTGACATGCTGAGCCGGATTTTTAACGTGCTGGTTCACAAGGTAACAGTCCACAAGAAGACAAATCCCCTTACCCGACACACATTATTCTGACTCCAGGCTGGCCAGTCTTTGCTATTACTCCTTAATGCCACGTGCTTAGCTGAGATGCAGCAAATACCAATTTTTAAAGTCTTTACCACATCTTCTTTTTATAAAACGTGTTTTCTTTAATTAACTAGTAGCTATAATTTGTCAAATATTGGATTGCACCAAGTTTTTTAATTTCTAACCATTTTTTTGTAGAATATTTCAATAGACTAATGAAAAAATATGTGATATGAATGAGCAGGAATTCAATCCAAAAATTATGTTTCTGAAAGATTAATTTCATACCCCTAATTTTCCTGTCCCTATTCAAATGAAAGTGAAGGCTATATTGGAATAATATTTAAATCTATGTTACTTGCTCAGTAGATTATTTTAGTGAGAAGAGAGATGTCCAGATGCCTGTTTACCAAGAATGGACACAAATTTGTTGGTGGACTTCCTCGACTCATTGCTCATCTCTTGCATTTGTAACACACATCTCTTAGGTTTATCTTTTCTCAATTTTGAAAAAAACAATTAATTTCAAAATCTGCAGACTTAGACATACAAAAGAGTTTGATAAAAAGGATTTTTAACACAATCCTTCCTTCAATTAAGACATCACCGAGACATTGTTGAAATCAATAAAATTACTGATGGAATGTAAGGTACTTCTGAGAAAACAGAGCCATTCAAAGACAGGAAAATGGAGATATTCAGTCAGCAGTCAACATCTTCTCCAAGGATAGCATGTAAAATTTGAAGTTCCTTTAACTAAATAACTTACACATAGTTAGTGAACAATAACTTTTAAATCAATAACATTTACCTCTGTGTCGACCACATAACTAACCAGAAAACAATACCAATCCTATCTTTACTTGATTTGTGATTAACGAAGAACTTCTGCTCATTAGATTCAGATTGATTTTAAATATGTTTATGTTCAGTGGGGTCAAAATCTTAAAACAATCAGCAAAACATTATACAAACCAGTTTGTTTGAAATTGATTTGTTTATTTTTCTTCTTAATTTTAATGTACCTCATGTAATTTTCCGATATTCTAAAGGTTCATTTATAGGTCATTCAACAAAAGAAAAGCAGTTTCCAACTTATCTTAAACTGATTAACAAATACAAGCTACCCATTTCTGTTGACCCGCTGGTGTTCCTCTTCATAAGAACTTTTTCAGTGACCATGCACAAACCACCACAATATGCTTACAGACCACATTTTATCAGTGAATAGAAACATATTTTGACCTGTGTAGTACTAATGATTCTTACAGTGATCTTAGAGCATAATCAACTGCTATGTCAGGTATGGAAGTAATTTTTAACACCAATACATACTCGTATAATCATAATTTCAATGCATTTTCTTTAACTTATTAATTATGAAAGAAAATATCGTAAATAGGCAAATAATTTGTGCAAGTGGGGAAAACGTCTAAGGTACATTGCAGATAGGTAATTAGGGAGAAACAAATCATATTCTATTTTTCATGATTAGAATTTAAATGATTATGAAGAAAAAAATCTCTTGAAAAGGCAAACATTTTTTGCAGGTAGGGCAAACTTCCAAGGTGTATTGGTAATTAGCGGGAACCTATTCACATCTTTATTCTGTCATTATGCTGTATTAAAATCTATTCTGTAATTTCAAGTATTAATCAAATCAATAAGACAGAAAAAAAAGATTAGAGGTTATTATTAGGCAGCATGGTACTCAGGACATTCAACTTTTACTGTATGGTAGATCTTCACATCGAAGGACATAACCTTGTAGCCTCTAATTTCGTCCTATTTAGCTTGCAGATCAAACTGTTGAGAAGATCAGCTATGAAACAGACCAGACAATTATTTACTGAACTAATTACACCACATGAGATACAGATTGTTTTTTCACACATGGGTTATGTATTTTTATATCATTCTCGTCAATCAGCTAATCAGAACAGTAGATAAACATTATCCCAACAGGAAACTAGCAGTCATTAATCCAAACTGCTAATCAAGGTGTGACCATGTATTGTATGCCACAATTTGATGGTCTAGTCTTAGAAATTTGCGTATTTTCTGTGAGAAATACCTTAGACAATTGCTGTCCAAATTCATCTAATTTCTGTTGCAATGGTGTCTTCTCTGTTTCTGTATCCATCATTTCGTCTCTGATTTTTCCTACAAAGAATTTTGAATATTTACTTTTAATCATTTTTGTAGTTTAGCAATGAGTTTTCTAGCTTTAACATATGCCCATTGTTGGACCTTGAACAAGCAACTAACTAACGCTAAACAGCTTGTATTTCTGAATAAGAAACTGAGGTTATCTCTCTTTGACCACACAAAAATCAGAAGTAATCATCTTTAACAAAATAATTGGATTCACTGGCAGTGACAGTAGAAATTGCAGAAGCAAATTTCAGACCATGAAATTATTTTTCTCGGTATCAAAGTCTTCCAGAGCTAAAAAAAAAAAAATACATGTAAATGTCTAAATAATCAGTGATGTAATTTTCCATCTTAACACCACAGGTATCTCCTGCTAAATGCCTTACTGATTACTCAAGTTTAAATTGCTAATTGTCTATAATCAACTTTGACATTTTTACCACACATTAACTATGGGATGTTCTGGTATAGATTATCTTAATCAAATCATTACACAAGTTTTCCAACTTAATTTCTACAACTCCTGTTGTTAACAAGCTTTTGTTGATGTCTGTCTATTTTAACAGCTGAAACAGTATGATCTGTTAAAACAGGGCCCCAACTGCTTGCCAAAGTTTTTCAATGTCACCTAAATCTTTCAACTTTTTTGTTAAATCAAGAAGCAGTTACCTCCAACATGGACTGAATCAAACCAAGATAAAGCATTTATTTTAAAGTAAATGATGTAAACATTCTAAACTGAGAATTCTTAAATTCAGAAAAATCCTAAATATACAGGGCTATCTAATACTGGTATGACATTAGTCTATAACAAGAATGTGTCCATAGTACACGGATGCCCCACTAACACTATCATTTTCTATGTGCAGTGGACCATGAAATTGGGGTCAAAACTCTAATTTGGCATTAAAATTAGAAAGATCATATGATAGGGAACATGTGTACTATGTTTCAAGTTGATTGGACTTCAACTTCATCAAAAACTTTAACCTGAAGCGGGACAGAGGGACGAATGAATGGACGAACGAACAGACGCACAGACCGAAAAACATAATGCCCCTCTACTATCATAGGTGGGGCATAAAAAAATAATAAACTTGGCTACATTTTTATAAAGAATTTTTTCAAAAGACAGATTCAGCACATTTCTAAAATCAATCTAAATACAGGTATTCCCCACTGCTTAATACCCAATAATATAGCAATCATATCTCAGTAACAATCTGTACAGGAAAGATATACCTTTTTAGTTGATTACAGGTGGGAATCATTGAATCTCACCTGTTACCAGATGGGACCTATCAAACAATGGTTTATATCTGTTTACAACCAATCAGGGATGTTTGCCATAGGTTTTGTACCCAAATAAACAAGGCCAAGATAAACCTTCCACAAATTACTGCCAATTTATGCCAATTACATTTAAATTTCAGTATTGTCACTAGAAATGTATAAATGTAAGATGATGTGGTATGATTGAACAAGACAAAAAAAAAAATGGACAAGAAGGTACATATTTCAACAGAGTAAATCAAGAATACCATGGTGATATTTGCAGTGTTAAGACACATAGATTCATATTAAATTCGTCTACTTTTTTGGTGGACCTATGAAATAAAATAGTACTATATATTCCAGATACATATATACATGTAAATTGTGATAACAAATGGTAAAACAGATTTGTATTCTAAATCAGCACAATGTCTTTTCAATTCTTTCTAAGAATTTCAAAAAATTTCCTTTTTTCTAACAGACACATACAGCTTGCAATTGTGATACGACACAATCAACAATCAAACTATTTACTTCAGATCCAAATCAATTATACATGATAAACAATTAAGTTGACCTTGATTTCTCCATTACTGTATAGTAAATGTAGAATAAATGAGCAATACAGAATCGGTGCTATGTTCCATTTCAAATACAACTGTTAATGAGGTATGCTGTTCATTTCACTATCATCTGTATTATATTATTCTAAAATTATATATATCATATTCCATCATTTTTTTTTCTTTCTTAGCTCCAAGAAATGTCCTGTAAGCATAGTTTTCTTTACTCTTGGAAAAGAAATTTTTATTGAAGAGGTTATCTAATAAGTACGACACCTTAAAAGTTTATGAGACCCCTAGGCATATAGAAAACCCATAAAAAATCTTTGTAATGAACTGAATGGAGACACTATATACACAGTCAGATGGTGCTTCTAAAATACTCTATTGAATCTGGACAGTTTATCAAAACAATTATGAGAAAGAAAAAAATTGAGTACCCAATAAACCACAAGAGTCATCTACGTCACATCTAAATATGGAGAAATGATGTACACAGATACATAATACATCTGTTGAAGAAAACGAACAGTTTCTGACACAACAAATTAGAATAGTATATATAAAACATATGTTTTCCTAGCCAGAGGTGGCAATGTTGTGAGAGAAAGATGCCCAATGCATGCTGCAAGGTTTGCTAATTAAATCAACATGATTATATAAACTAAAATAATGTTTTGTGGAATGTTATCCTTAGGTAACCTCTACCTATTTCACAGCTTATTACCTTTCTGCAAAAAGAAGAATTCAATGCCATCACAATTTGGGGTATTCAACAGGGGAAAATTACTATGTGCTCGATTTCTAGAAGTCTAATTGGCAATTTAACTGATATCATTGAGAACTGTTGGCAGTTCTTCATAACAATCTGTTATATAGGGATCTGAATAGCAAGGCTGACATATCAAATATGTGCTAAATCAAGGACACAAGCATGTCAATGACCTTAAGGCTACAAAAGTGACAATATTATTGCCATAGAGGACAAAACAATAAGCTTACCAACAAACTTTAAAATTGTCACAAGACTGATCTGATAAAGATAAAATCACAAAATAAAATAAATTATTTAAGGAATAATAATTTTGTCATGAAATATTATTCCTGTTTTTTCCTAGTTGTTTTGTGTCTCACAGTAAAAACAAACTGTATGTTAATCTAAAATACTTTTTGTCAGGAAATTTTGTTAACAGCTTTCCATTTACTTTTTTCTATAAGTGATGAGGTATATTTTATAAGAGATGTCAACCTGAACATAATATAAGATAAGTAAAGGATTTGAGTGGCCAGAATGAGAGAAAGGTACATAATCAGCATTTTAACTATTAAAAATATTTGGGATCAACTATCTAGTTCACTTTTGCAAGTCAGTTTCAATGCAGCATAAACAGTTTGTAATTCCCTGAGGTTCCCAATTCTCAAGCAAGTCTAGTGGGGTGGGTAGCTTTTAAAAAAATATGGTTTAAGATTCTCATACTATGGACCTGAATGTACCAGATAGCAAGTCATGTTGTACAACATAATCCTTTGATTCTGTTTGCTCTACAAGCTTAAAAGCTTTGCAATTACTGGAAGTAATAATGTCTTTACAAATCTTTTAATCACAATTTAATAGGAACAGTAGCTACTAATTGCAGCAATGAAAAGCAACTATTTGTTTTCCAACTTCGTGGAATAAATGGAAGGATTATTGTCAATAAAACATGGCTTAAAAAAAGGTTACAATATCACAATAAATCCTTTACTTCATATTTCTCCACAAACCAAACCAATACACCAAGAAGAAAGGCAATATTTGAGTTCATGGTATACATGTTAATACAAATATATAATAATCAACAAATAAAGATTTGCAGAAATGAGAAAACTTGCAAAACAAAATACACTTCAAAAACACAATCCTTTTGTCTGATACCTTGGATTTATGGTATTTACTTATTTTTCACTAAAAAACTGCACTTGTTTAAATTTATTCTGTGGTCATTCCTATAGTTTTTACACTTGATTTTTAGTTGTCAAAACATGTTTAAATACTTTTTGCTATATAATAAAAAAAAGAAACTTTAACCATATACAATCAGTATTATAATGTATATTAAGTCTAAATGCAGATCATTTTACCTACAGTTTGAACATTTGCCTATCCTTTAGAAAAATACACGCTGATCTTTCTTATTGATAGATATCTATTGTTTTTTAAGGTAGTTGGGTTGTGGTCTTTTTTTTCACCCTAAGTCACTTCTTAATGGTTATCATGTTCTTTGTTCTTATCTGACAGAAACATATGGAGAATGCTTTCAGAAGAGTTCAAGAGTTTTTAGTTCATGTGTAGTTAAAATATGGAAAAGAGCATAATGTTGCATCAGCATGACAGCAAATGCATAAGCATGCACTGAGGTCAAAGGAAGGTCATTTCCTCCTCATTATATATGAAGACCATGTAATAATTCCTAACATTCTGAAAGTAATAATATGGGTTATAAAATATTATTATAGAAAATAATCCAAAGAGTCTTGGCATATAGATAAGATATACTGTCCAGATAATTGCTAATTAACTGACTATAACACCTGTCATTCGCAAGGTTGTATGGTCATAACTGCTGATCATACAAATACAATAAAATGCTCCGCTGGGCGCAGCTTGATACGACCGCAGAGGTCGAATCCTGAACAGTTGGGGCAAGTATGGACACAACATTCAAGCTTGATACAGCACTGAATTTGGATTGTGATTAAATATTTGACACAGCATAGGTTTCTGACACAGAATGAATGTGGTCTAAGAACTTAAAAAATTTTAATTTACCTATTCAAACCATATCATTATTATTTGCTTTTATATATAAATCAGAAATAACCAATTTAAAATGGAAAATTTTAAAGAAAAAAAAAGGAAAAAAAAATCCCCCCCAAATTTTTTGAACCCCCTTATGATTCATCACCCCTGAACTCAATCCCAGCCTTCCCTTTGTGGTATGGTACCTTGCAGTACAATTTCAGAGAGATCCATACACTTGAACACAAGTTATTGTCTGGAAACTAGAAATATGCTTGTTTTTTGGCCCCTCTTTGGCCCCAAATTCCTAAACTTTTAAGGCAATTACCCCCAAACTCAAACCCAGCTTTCCCTTTGTGATATGGAACCTTGTAGTACAATTTCAGAAAGAT